ACAGTTGAACCCCACAGCATAACCATATCTTTCTGGGCGATTGAATTGTCACTCGAGATCGAAAATGCAAGAAAGTCTGGGATAAAAAGGTTTGGTTTCTGAGCACAAAGTTTCATCAAGGGTAATATTGCTCTTCCTAGGGACTATGGGGCAAACTTTGTGAGGATGGACATCTGCTTTAGAAAAAAACCATGGAGAGGTTTCTTGGAGGTTTCAGATCTCTGTGTACTTTCATTACACGAAAGAGCAAACCTCAGTGTGGTGGACTTGCATAGCCTTGCATGATGAAATACATTCACTGACAACACTACAGTGATTATGCCCTTAGCTGCATTTTGTGTTTCAGAATGGAAGGGGTAACCAAAATCATAAACCCACCACCCAAATGCAGACAAGTAAGCTATATAAAATACGTTTTGAAAAGGAATTCCCCAAAAGTTAGGATTGACTACAGCTTCTAGGGCTCAAAAGTAGCCAGTGAGAAAGACAAAGGGAAACAGTAAGGCTGTAGATGTCATATGTTACACCAGTTTTTCTATGCATGCTGTTTTTCAATGAGAAATTTGAGGGTCAGTGAGATGATGGGTCACAAGGTTGCTTGTCACTAATTCCGATGACCTGTGTTGTTGGATCCCTGGGACCTACTAATGGAAGAGGTCTGACTCCCATAAGCTGTCCTCTAAGTGCATCTGTAGTACACATGTTTACACACCCAACACAAAGTCAACATAATTTTAAAGTTACTTTAGAGCCAGCAAGAACAGCAGTCCAGGGTTCGAGTCTCATCACCCACGTGGTGGCTTATAACCATCTGTAACTCAAGTCCCAGACATCTGATGCCCTCCTGACCTCCATGGATATTAGATATGCACAGACCTATGCAGACATCCATACACTTGGGGGGAGGCATTAAAATGTGAGTGCTGGGATTGGACTCTGGTTCTCGTGCTTGCCTGGCATGTTACTGATCAAGCTAAGCTCTTTACATGACAGCATGTCAGAGATGTGACCTTTTACCTTAGGTTTCCAGCTATTTAGTTTTGAGTAAAATTTTTAACCACTTGTAATTTTTCCCCCTGTACTGCCTGGTTATTGTAGTCCCTTGTTCTTAGCTGCTGTGATAATTTGTAAAACCAATTTTTTGCTCTCTGAAGCATCACATGTCAGAGGTATTACAACAAATGTTTTCCTCTAGGTGGTGCTTATCTGTTCCTGTCTACTGAGGAGGTAAAACTTAACTGGGGTTTTCCCATTTATATGCTCTAGGATTTATAGGAAAGCTTTTCAACTCCAGAGTTATTTTTGTATATCTTTTAGATGCATTCATTTTATATTTTTTACTTTTAACATAGAATTTATTTTGGTCTAAGGAATAAAGTAAGCTATAGAGCTTTATTCCAGATAGACATTACTTATTAAACTACCTTTCTGTCTCTGTCTTGAATGCTACCTTTTTATACTTTAAGCTGTTTTAATACTTCTTTCACATGTATCACATACCAGGATTCCAATTTTTTACCTCTTTTGTCTCAAGGTCTCAACTCTTTGTGTATTTGTTTTGAAATATATTAGGACTAGCTTCAGTTACCCTGAAAAATGTCACAGCTATGGACCCACATTGCCTGATTACTTTGTGGGCTTCATTTGTCAAATTACATTGTGCGCTTGTCTGAACAACTATTTTTTGAAATAATTATTAATGTGATTGCAAATGCCATTTTATTCTTTGATATAATGAACCATTCTGTGTGAAATATCCATTTAAAGTATCCCAAGTTTTCTGCTGATACTTAATGTTTAAACTGATAGAATGAAATTCCACGATGTGTACATATACATAAAATCTACCAGCACGTAACATGGCTTTCATGTTAAAGGTAAGTGATTTGTTTGGTGTATTTGTTGCAATGCCTTGTGATGTAGTAAATCCAAAGACATTACTCACTTGGGTCCATCAGTGTGCTCATGATTTAGTGTTAAAAGCACCCATGCTGCAAGTTCAAGGGCTGTGTTTGTCGTCTCAGTTCACAGTACAAAGAGGATGAACAGGTTGGTTCTGTTGTGGAAGTGAGTGCTGTGACATCAAGTTTTCTTTGTTCGTGATTATACACTGAGGTTGTACCATTATCGACTTCTCATCATTTACATTATTTTAAGCTGGGTGCGGTGAAGCATGCCTACAATCCTCCTCTTGAGGCAGAGGCCCGTGGATAACTGTCATTTCTTCACAGTCACACCTGCCCCCCAATAGTAGTTGAATTTCAAGAATTGCATTGTGGAGATACTGTGCCCTGGTCCCTCGTGGCCCTGAGGTTGCCAGTTTTTTGCAGGTCTCCTCCAGTGATGTGTCTGCTGCTTCCTCAGAGCCCACACAGTGAGTCTCAGGGCATCTATTGCTGTGATAAACATAACCAGGGAAGGACAAGGGTTATTTCAGCCCTGTAACTCTAAGGTCACACATTTGCTGAGGAAGTCAGAGCAGGAGCTGATGCAGAGGCCATGGTGAAATGCTGCTTGCTGGCTTGCTCAACATGGCTTGCTCAGCCTGCTTTTTCCAGTATTCAGGAGCAGCCTAGGGATGACACCACCCACAATGTGCTGAGCCATCCCACATCAATCATCAAACAAGAAAATGTACTACAAGCCAATCTGGTGAGGGCATTTTCTCAGTTAATGTTCCCTCTAGTGTCAAGTTGCCCTAAAACTAGCCCACACAGACGAACCTTGACCGTGGGTCAAGGGGATGGAGTGATGACTCAGTGAGTCAGAACTCTGAGCAAGCATGAGGGCCTGAGCTCTTAACCCAGCACCTTGGTAAGAGGCTTGGTATGGTTAAAACATGCCTGTGATCTCAGCGTCACATCACGGCAGAGACAGGGATGGCTTAGACACTCTGGTTACCAGCAGAGCTTAGTGAGACCTTATTTCAAGGGAGTAATTGGAGAGTGATAAAGCAGGACCTGAGGTCCTCCCATGGGTGTGCGTGGGGGGAGGTGGGCTCAAGTGACTCTTATCTCAAAAAAATGATTAGCTGAGCATTGATGTTACATGCCTTTAATCCCAGCACTCAGTAAGCAGAGGCAAGAGGATCACTGTGAGTTCAAGGCCAGCCTGGTCTACAGAGCTAGTTCCAGGATAGGCTCTAAAGCTACAGAGAAACCCTGTCTGAAAAACAAAACAACAACATAAAAAGACAGAGACCTCTAAGAAATGATTAATTTGTATTGAGAGTGGTCATTATGTATTTGAGAGAGAACGCAATATCAAAACATGAATGTTAAATTCATTAGCTATCTCTGAGTTCATAGTGACTTCCAAGGCTGCTAGTCAAAACAGACAACTACATTCATTACAGCAGAAAACTACATTCATTACAAATAAGTTTCATGTATAATTAATAATAACATTTATTAAATGTAATTGAGTATTTTTAAGAATATATTTAGCTCAGTGGTGGCAGACACCTTTAATCCCAGCACTTGGAGAGGCAGGCAGATCTCTGTGAGTGTGAGGCCAGCCTGATCTACAGAGTGAGTTCCAGGACAGCCAGGACTGTTACACAGAGAACCCTGACTCAAAAAACAAATCAAAAAAGGTTAGACAAAATTTGGTAGTTCATTACTCTGCATCATCATCCTGCAGAAAAGCCTTAATGTTAGGCACCCAGGCAACAGACAATAGAGACAGAAGGACTTAAAAAACAAGACAAAACAAAAACCCTGATGTTGAGTTCTGTCCCAGAACCCAGATGAAGGTGGAAAGAGACAAGCATCTGCAGTGTCCTTTGACCTCCTGTGGGGAAATGCACCACCCATACAATAAACACAATAATTATAGAATTTAAAAAATAAATGTAAAATAAAACTGCCTTCTATCTAATTAATTAATTAAACAGGCCCTCAAGTCCGGATGATAGTCTCAGTCGTTGAGGCTTAGGAGGAAATCCCAAAGGCCAGGTTTCCCGGGGCCTTGAGAATGTGTTCTACACTTGTCAATGATTAAGCAACTGTTTAGTGCCAGTGTTAAGGACTGTTTGACTGGAGCAGTACACTTGAACTTGCAAGTCTCATAACCCTGCCCTCCTCCCTCCCTCATCACAGTCTGCAGGTGCTTATAAAAGAATGCTAAGTCACAAGGCTCAAAGGACCTGACCCCAGGCTGAGCTGAGCACACACAGCCCTGCATACACTTGGGCTGTCTGGAGGCAGCCTGAGCTGACTGACATAAATGAGCTTTAGCAACAAAGTGTGGAGGTTCCTTGCCTCCAGAGTCTCTTCTATGCAGACCTGTAGGAAGAGAGACATACAGCCAGTTTCCCCTGGCAAAATCTGGAATCATTTTTATACCTAGTTAAAGAAAGAAAATGTTTCAAATGCTGTGAAACAGACTTGATTAACATTTACCACTATACCTTTTTTTTTTTTTTTTTTTTTAAATATATCTGTCTCAGTGGTAAAGGACACCTTCCTTGTACAACCACCATTGTCTATCCCCAAAACTCATCAAAATCCCCAGAAGAAATTCTATTCTCATCGACCCACAACTAACCACGATTCCTCCCCAAACCCCCAACCATTGTTCTATTTTCTTTTATGAGTATAGGTTGCTTGTAAGTGGAACCACATAATATCTATCTTTTGATGTGGTCATTTTCCTTAGCACAATTACCCCAAGGTCCATCCATCCTGCAGTATGTATCAAACTTCGTCCTCCTTTCAGGTTGGATAATATTCTCTTCACATTTTGTTTGCTCATCTCTCTGGGCCACCTCCACCCTTTGTAGTCTTGTGAATAGTATTGCTGTGAGCAGCTGGTACTCAGACAAGTAGCATCTCACAGAGCTTGGAACCCTGCCTCTTCTGTCTCCTCCTCCACGTGTTGTTACTGTAGCTGAGTCAGCCATCCAGTGTGAAGATAATTTTTACCCCCAACCCCATTTGCCCTTTCTTCCTTGGCTGGCCAAAGTCCAGCCAGGTTTATTTATAAGCCATTCAAAGCTCATTAGCAAACCACATCAGCCAGCAAGCAATCTTTCCACATCGGTCCCCGCTGAAAAGCACTTGGAAAAGGGGCCCAAGGTAGACATGAATGAGGACAAGAACAAGAGAGACTCCATCCAGATGAGTATGAAGGGATGCTGGACGAATAACGGGTTTGTCCAGAATGAAGACATCCCAGAGCAGGAGCCAGGCTCCAGGGACACCCCACAGCCCAACACTGTGAGTATCCCTGCTCCAGAGGAGTCTGGCCCAAAGGCTGAGCGTCCCTATGCCGGGATGCCCAAGGAGGTGCTGTTCCAGTTCTCAGGCCAGGCTCGCTACCGGGTGCCCCGGGAGATCCTCTTCTGGCTCACCGTGGTGTCCGTGTTCCTGCTCGTCGGGGCCACCATAGCCATCATCGCCATCTCTCCAAAATGCCTTGACTGGTGGCAGGCAGGTCCCATGTACCACATCTACCCAAGGTCTTTTAAGGACAGTGACAAGGATGGGAATGGAGACCTGAAAGGTGCGTGTTCGAACCCAGGATCAACCAGGGGAGGGTGGTTTGCGCCTCCCGCCCCTAGCTTCTTCGAAGCGCTTTAGTGGCTGGCACCAGTGCCCCTGGGCATTATCCAAGCACCACTCAGAAGTCGGCAAGTCTTGTGCTGTATATAAGACTGTTTACTGGAGGCCTTGGAGCAAAGGGTTTAATATCTTGTCCACTAAGCCAATGCACATATTCATTCACTTGTTAATTGTCCTACAACCTCCCACTTTGTGGCTGCATGTTTCCTTTGAGGCTGGCTGTCCTGGTATATGATGTAGCTTGTTGTCTGGCTGGAGATTATTGATAAATACATCATGTTACACAAATGTGATGTCTGCAGGAGGGAAAGGCTGTCTTCAAGTTCCAATCCTGAGAGATAAGAGAAGGTTAAAAGACCCAGCAATATGTTAGCTGTTAACTATATAGAGGGTTCTCTAGAGCAATACCCTAATGCAGGAAAATAAAACAAAAAATTTGTATCTTTTAAATTAACCTAATGTTTCACATGTAATTTTGTATCCGTATAATTGAATGTTTCTTTAGGCCATATTAAGGCTGAAACTGTGCCAGACAGTGGGAATAAACTGGATTGGTTAGTAGAGTCAAAGTCAAATGGTTAGGATAGCCTGTCATACCAACATACCAGCCCTGAACTATTTTTTTTTTTTTTTTTTTTTTTTTTTTGGTACTTTCTTAGCACTCTCTCCAGTTTGTCCCCTCCCTCCCTGCCTCTTTCCCCACACCCTCAGTGCTCAATGCTGGGTATGAACCCCAATGTTTTGCCCTGAGAGGCAAGCTTTCTACCAGTGACCTATTTCAGCAGCATTTTCTATCTGTCTGTCTGTCTGTCTGTCTATCCATCATTATCATCATCATCATTATTGAGACAGGGTTTCTCTGTGTAACAGTCCTGGCTGTCCTGGAACTCACTCTGTAGACCAGGCTGGCCTCACACTCACAGAGATCTGCCTGCCTCTGCATTCCAAATACTGGGATTAAAGGCGTGTTTGGTCACTATTTGGAGAATAGTGTATCTGCCCTCAAAGGTGCAGCTCTGAGCCACTGCCTTCTTTTAGCCTTTCGCTTACTCTTTTATCATTCCACCGGCACCTTGACCGCGATGGCCACCGAGTGTTGGCGCAGAAGCAGGAACACACTTCCTATCTCCTGGCCCCTCCTTCCGTATCACTCCTAGGTGGTTCCCAAGTTCCCACAAACAAGGACTTTCTAGTCAGCTCTTGTGTGTTCACTTCTGCCTTTTCCTTGGGGGAGCAGCCGCTTCCTGTTACCCAGTAGGTACTGGTCCCTGAGGTCAAGAATCCTGTTATTCTGAGGAAACCACCCTGGGATCGGCTTTTGTGGCTGTCTTTTATCTCCTGAAGTGTGGGTCTGGGACCCCCGGTCCCTTGGTGTCTCTCTATCCCCTAGTTTTCCTCTCTCCCTTCCTTGTGCTGGAGCATGCACTCTGCCCTCCCCACCCCCCACTTCTGTGTACTCAGCCCTGTGCTTGCTTCTGGTTTAAATGGAAGCATTTCTGTTGCCTGTTGATACTCTGAAATGTGACAGCCACCTGTGAAGGCAACGCAAATAGGCAGCCTGCTGGAGCCGAACTGTTGCTGGAGTCAGCCCGGGCAGCCCTAATACTCCCAGCTCAGGACAGTTAAAGAGTGGTAGAGGAATGCAGAAGAGACTGATTCAATAGGCCAGGCCAGAAGAAGTTTAGTTCCTGAATAGAAGGCAAGGGGTATGCTTGGCTAAGCAGTGCTGGCTAAAGGCGTGATCCCATCTGCAACTGACTCATTCATTCTACAGCTCCATTATCCTTCCTGGTGTTCCAGCAAATGCTCAGAGCTATAAAAGAACTCTCTCCCCAGGAGACAAGCTCCTCCTCTGGCTGCACCAGGCTTCAGGCTTTTCCTTTTCCCAGCACAAGATTTCGGGGGGGGGGGGGGGGCTTGGGAGGGGGAAGTGAATTCTAATTCCTTAGGGATCGTTGTTTCTGTAGTCTGATAACCAAAGGGTATCTCTAGAGTGTCTTCACTTCTGCCGGGGCTTCGGGGACTCTGTGCTTTGGTCTCCTCTACCTCCTGCTTACTTAGTGTGGCCTCTGCCATGCTTCAGGAAGATTCACAGGAAACATAGAAAACTACCTGCTCAAGTCTCCACACCTGCATTTAAGACCATGAACTAGAAGCCACAACAACTAGTCTTCTCAGCTTAACTTCCATAGGCCTCGCCTGACAAGCCTAGTCTCTCTTGTGCCTTCCTATAGAAGTGAACAAGGCCCTCAAACCAGTACTCTAAAGACAGCCCAAGAGACGAACATGAAGCCTGGCAAATACTGGCACAGACCTGTCTTCTATCTGTTGTATTTTTGCCCAATCCCTCTTCTCCATGGAACAGGTCTCACTGTTTGCTCAGTTATTTACTCATTTATTATGCTGAATCCCAGACATAACCTGTACCACCCTAGCCCATGACTTTCCCCATCAGTTCCTCTGCCCAAGACGGTCAGGGCTAACATCCTGGTCCATAAAGCACCTTGCTCATCTCTTCTCCAGGCCTGCATTATCCCATTCCAGCTACTTTACGTTGCTATAGTGTCACTGTTCCAGTTCTTTCTTCTCAAGGTGAAATTGATTTTACTATTATGTTTTATTTAATCCAATATATTTTCTATATCACCATATCAGCATATAATATTATTGACGTATTTTAAGTTCTTTCTTTTTGTACCATGTCTTAAACATCTGGTGTGTGCCTTTTCCTCCCTCCAGCATACCTCAACCCAGATGAGCTACACTGTAACTGCTCAATATCCACATGTGACAAATTGCTTTGGTATGGGCTAGGGCTCTCTGGACTATCTGGGATCAGATGTTACTTAGTTGTTAGCACCTAGCTTAACACCTGTTGGAAACCACCTTCAGTCTTGTTTTAAAGATGAATGAAGGGCTGTAGCTCAGTTACAGAGTTCTGGCTTAGATCTGGGTTTGGTCTCCGTCACTGCATAACTAGGCCTGACACTACATACTTGTATGTAATCCCAGCACTGTGTGTACTGAGCATGCTTGTGGTGTGTATGTGGGTGATACCAGTTTTAGAGGCAGGAAGATCAGAAGTTTAAGATTATCCTGGGCTACGTAGTAAGTTTGAAGCCAGCCTGGGTTACTTGAGACCCTGTCTCAAATGAGTGAGTGTCTCTGTGTGTGTATGTGTGTGGCATATTATACATTTTAAATTATATATTTGTTTTAAAGGTAAAAAGTTATACTAGAAGATTGATGTTATTCATAGGACTAGACTGCTGTCTGAATTTTACTCAGATTCAATAAAATTGCTAATATTTTGGTCTTTGTTATAAAAATTTTATTTTAGACATTCTGTTTTATTTTTTAAAACTTTATTTTATGTATAGCAATACAGTTTACATATTAAATAACACTAATAAAATTATTTGATATAGTTTTAAACAGTAGAAAATGGGGGAAGGGGAGGATTTTCAGCTTATAAAATCCCTTCCCCAAGATGGGCAGTTGTGGTGCACACCTTTAATCCCAGCACTTGGGAGGCAGAGGCAGGGGGATCTCTGTGAGTTTGAGGCCAGCCTGGCCTACAGAGGGAGTGCCAGCAGAGTCTCCAAAGCTACACAGGAAAACCTTGTCTCTAACCCACCCCCAGAAAAAAATTCCTTCCCCAAAAACAAACTTTTTACTTTTCCTAAGTGGGTCATTTAGACATGTGTGTTTAGTGAGTAATCATGTCTAACTTCTATCTGGATGTTTGTGTTTAGTGAGTAATCATGTCTAACTTCTATCTGGATGTTTGTGTTTAGTGACTAATCATGTCTAACTTCTATCTGGATGTTTAGATGGTATAAGTGTGGGTACGATCTAAAATTTAGAAAGTGGCAGCACCCACCTTTAGTCCTAACCCCAGCTCTCAGGAAGCAGAAGCAGATGGATGGATCTCTCTATGAGTTCAAGGCTAGCCTGGTCTACATAGAGAATTCCAGTCCAGCCAGGGCTACACAATGAGACCCTGTATCAAACAAAAGAGGAGGAGGAGAAGGAAAGAAATAAGGAAGGAAGAAAGGGAGGGAAAAATGGAGGGAGGGAGGGAAGAGTAGACGAAAAAAAGGCAAAGGACACATGAAAGAATAGCTAAAGCTACTTGTTTTTCTAGTTTCAATTCTATTATCCTCTTTCCTTTTTTCAACTCTCTGAGTATTGAAAATAGCAAGAATCTTTTCACTGTGTTATTCCTTTGGTGCAGTGGTTGTGAGAAGTAGGCTTCTTTTCTGATGCTACTGACCATTAGATATTTTTTTTTTTAATCTCCCCCTTATTTTACTATGAATGCTTCAAATGGAAAACCAAAGCCACGTTTGCTCACACCCTCGACTTTTTCCTCAGGCATCCAAGAGAAGCTGGACTACATCGCTGCTTTACACGTAAAGACTATTTGGATCAGTTCTTTTTATAAATCGTCTCTGAAAGACTTCAGATATGGCGTTGAGGACTTCCAAGATATTGATCCTATTTTTGGAACAATGAAAGATTTTGAGAATCTGGTCGCAGCCATACATGACAAAGGTAAAGTGTGGGGGAATGGGAACCCATCTTACCCTTGATTGTCGTTCTTCTCATACAGTCTCTCCCTAACGTTTGAAATGCTTTTACTCTTTAGGTTTAAAGTTAATAATTGACTTCATACCAAACCACACCAGTGACAAACATCCTTGGTTTCAATCCAGTAGGACGCGGAGCGGGAAATACACTGATTACTATATCTGGCATAACTGCACCCATGAAAACGGTGTAACCATTCCTCCCAATAACTGGGTAAGGACAGCCGATGAGCAGATAGAAACTGGGCAGCTCTAAACTAACTGAGCACGAGGTGTGTGGGGCCCTTTAAGGAAAAGCATTGAAGGATGCAGTTTAGAAATAGAAGACGTTTCCAAATGCTGCTGTTAGGTTTCTGACTTCATTGCTGAGCTGATGTTTCCTGGTCAGTGGTACTCTTATCACCAGCATCCTCTTCCCTTTTGCCTTCATGGTACTCTCATCCTGCATCCTCTTCCCTTTTGCCTTCATGGTACTCTCATCCTGCATCCTCTTCCCTTTTGCCTTCATGGTACTCTCATCCTGCATCCTCTTCCCTTTTGCCTTCATGGTACTCTCATCCACCATCCTCTTCCCTTTTGCCTTCATGGTACTCTCATCCACCATCCTCTTCCCTTTTGCCTTCACTTCCCAGCATAGAATCTGGGGCTCCTGGATGGAGATAGGGAAATAGCAGTCATTTTTTTTTCTACATATATTTCTACTTTTACTGCTCTGCAGGGCTCTTTATCTCTTTGATTTTTTGACCCCCCTGCTGGACCACATCACAAGCAAACACGGTCATCACTTTCTCCTTTCCTGAGCCTCTGGACATAACCTATTGTCATCATCGCCACCTGAGCCGTTACCTTGTCTTCAGAGGTTGACTGAGTCCGGGTGACCAGCATGGTCTCACTGTCCTCCAACTCCCTTCTGCCTCCTTGCCACCTTAGCACTCTTAGCAGCAAATGTCACTCAGAAAGCACAGAAGCCATCATTCTTCCTGCTTGCTCCTGCAAGAAACCAGAGACCTTTCTGTCTAGGTAGCCAAATTTAGCAAATAAAAGCCTCAAACATGTATGTAAACCTGAGTTTGAGGGGAGGTAGTGGCACATGCCCTTCATTCCTCAGGAGGCAGAGCAGGGAGATCTCTGTGAGTTTGAGGCCAGCCTGATCTACAGAGTGAGTTCTAGGACACACAAAGGCTACATAAAGAAACCCTGTCTCAAAAACAAACAAACAAACAAACAAACAAACAAAAACCCAAAAATAAACAAAAACAAAAAAACAAAATAAATTTAAAACTGAGTTTTATTTTAGATTAAGTAGTGAATAACTTTTAGTGTAAAATATTTATAGATCAGGTTCTAGATCTACATGTTCAACAGAAAAGTGAAAAAGATTGCAAAGGGACTGAATTCTCTATGGACCATTAGCTGACCATTATTCCTGAAAATACAGTAGCACAGCTACAACTTAATGCTCACATTGTGTTAGGTGGTAAGATTAATACAGAGATCCCATGAAATATAAAAGACGATGTGTGAGAATTGTATATAAATTCCTCATTTTTACACCAGACTTGATTGAGCACCTGCTGATCTGATGTCTGACAGGGTCCTGGAACCAACCTTTCTGGTGAGTCTGCGGTCAGGCTCTAGTAGGATAGAGTCTATGTGCTGTCCCTGGAAGTCAGGTGTGCCAGGCATTCTATAGTGCAGCAGGTGAGCCGTCTCGTCTTAGGCACAATTTTCCCTCTCAGGCCTTTTTCTCTCTCTCTTGCTTTCTTCCTAGTCATTTATTCTCGATTCTCTTGCCTCACTGGAGTACCACACCTTCTTATCCTGATCTTCTCTGATGGTCCTTAAACACTAACTTTCAACCTAAACACACTCAGAGTTTGCGTGCTTCATAAGTAATTGTGTGGCCTCTCTGTAGCTACCCATTATGCAGCTGTTTTGCAGTTGCTCTTTATCCAGACATGAACAAAAGGCCTGAGATGATACAGTCCAAAAAACTCTCAGGTAAAGTTGAATTGAGGCAGATTGACCAGAGATTTGAGGGACAAACCAGAGACTCTCAATATGTGGTCCTTCTAGAAAGAAGATACTAGTCATACCATCAAACACAACTGAGTGCTGGTGCCTGAAGTCACCAGACTTTTATTCCAAATGACTAGGAAAGTTTTAAGTGACTGTATCTAATACAAACTCTTTGGGGAGTCATTTTACATCTCTGGCTTCATGTCCCATGACTAATATAGGCCATCTTTCTCCACAATCTGCTTCACATTCAGGAGTTTTGGGCCGTAGCAGCAGATTCAAGGAAATATGTTAGGAATGCTGTCCCTTAAGTTGATCTTGTCCTGGACTTGAGAGCATTAGCTGGAGTTGTGGTCATTAAGAATGGGTGTCTACTTGACAAGTATTTCATAACTACTTCTGTGGGTTCTCCCTGGAAAGACAACTCCTAGGAGCAGGGATGGCAAGGTCACATCTTTGTGGAGAAGCCAGTGTAGGAATGAGTGAGGTAGCCAGGCGTTGGCGGCTCACACCTTTAATCCCAGCACTCAGGAGGCAGAGGCAGGCGGATCTCTGTGAGTTCAAGGCCAGCCTGGTCTACAGAGCAAGTTCCAGGATAGCCTCCAAAGCCACACAGAGAAACCCTGTCTCAAAAAAAAAAAAAAAAAAAAAAAAAAAAAAAAAAAAAAAAAAAGAAAGAAAAAAAAAAAAAAAAAAAAAAAAAAAAAAAAAAAAAAAGAAAGAAAGGAATGCGTGCGGTAACATGTCTTCTTTTCCCTGTTTGCTAGCTGAGTGTGTATGGGAACTCCAGTTGGCATTTTGATGAAGTACGAAAGCAATGTTATTTCCACCAGTTTTTGAAAGAGCAACCAGATTTAAACTTCCGAAATCCTGCTGTTCAAGAGGAAATAAAGGTGAGTATGGACACCCACATGGTAGGAGCCTAAGTGAGTGTGGACCCCAAACAGACTTCCCCACTGGTGAGGAACTAAGTGGTTATTTGAAACACTCCATGTTGACTGAACATCTATCTATATAGGCAAAATCAAGGTGTGTCATTAAATTATCCGGTTAAGGTGTCAAATACAAATGAAAATATTGACATGTGTTGGTGGCTCCTTTCTACATCTAAACCATAATAATGTAAATAACAAGGGGACAAGGAGGGGGAGGCTAAGCTGGAGGTGATCTTTGGCCTGAGGCAAATGGCTGGTGTGTTGGTGGGGGGGTGGGGAGTTGGGGAGGTTGGGGGAGGGGGTGTTGTGAACACAGGGTGTGGGGGCTGGCTGGTTCCCACATGTGCAGTGGCCCTCTGGGTGAATTGTGGGGCTTTTCCTGGTCTCAGATCCTCAACCTATGAAACACAGTTGGTATCGATATTGTGTTTGTTCACAAGATGGGTGAGATAATACATGCTTAACACTTCTGTGTTTGCTCGGTAAATACTGGCGTATTTCTCGTTCTGTTCCAGGCCCTGTCCTGAGCATTGAGAATTTGACAGGGGAGTGGGGAGAATGGGGAAGGGGGGAGCCCATCCCTCGGCCAGTCTCTGGAACACCAAGGGCACAATGACATCAATGCATACGTGACCCTTCAAATGGTACTGATTAGGAAAGGCAGAGAGAGAGCTTGCTCTTCCAAAGAAGGGGGACCCTTGGGATAGATGCTGCTGAGATGAGAAATGGAGCCTAGGGAACGAGAGTTTCAGGCAAGTGTGTGTGAGTGTGTGTACATGCAAAAACCTCAAGTTCAATTTTAAATTTTAGATAACGAAAAATGCAATTTGGGGGATATGTCTACTAAAAAAAAACCATATAATCTGTTGTCTGCTTGAAATTAAAATGTAACGTGGTGTCCTGAGTGTTAACTTGTGATCTGGCAAGACTGAAGGGTGAGAGGCACTGAGCCAGAAGTAAGAGGTGGGGGCTAGTCAGATCGGCAAGGCACATGCTGCGTCACTGAAGGTCCCTCTGTGGCTCTGGGATGGGAAGGCTCCTGTGACCACCTCATCGGACTCCCACCAGAGTGATCCTAATTCCCACTCTTGATATTGCTGTGGGTGGAGTGGGTGGAAATTGAGGAAAGTTGGGTAGTGCTGGGGGAAGCAGGGAGGGAGGAAACAGGACAGGTTAGAGAACTGTAGGCAACTCTAGTAGAAAATCAACTGTCCATAAAAGCTTGGCTTTATTTCTGGACCCTTAATTCTGTCCTATCCTTCTATGTATCATTTTCTGTGACAGAACCACTGTTTGGTTACGGTAGCTTTGTAGTAAGTTGTGAAATCAACAAGTGTGAGTCTGCCAGGCATGGTGATGCTCCGCCTTTAGTCCTAGCACTCAGGAGGCAGAGGCAGGAGGATCTCTGTGAATTCGAAGTCAGCCTGGTCTACACAGTGAATTCCAGGACAGCTAGGGCTACAAAGTGAGACCCTGTCTGATAAACAAACGAGAACAAGCATTAAGTTCAACTTTGTTTTAGATATTGTGTCCTTTGCTTTTCCATATGAATTTTTATAGCAGCATCTCAATTGTGCAAAGAAGCTTGCTGGCATGTTAATAAAAACTACACCAAGCCTGTAGCACATTTTGAGAAATACTGACACCTTCATGTTAAACCTTCCAATCTATGAACATGGTTGCCTTTCCATTGGTTTAAGTGCCCTCCAGTTTCTTCCTATAATGTTTTATAGTTTCAGAAAAATGTTCTGACTTTGTTCCCCCCACTTCCTCCCTTCCACTCTGCCTTTCTTGCTTTACATTTCTTTTCTTTCTTCATTTCTTTCTAGTTTTTCTCATTCTACACAAGTCCTTTATCACTGAGGTACACCCCTACCCCAAGCCTTCTGCATTCCCTTTAGGTATTTATTCCTGTGGCTCAAGAACATTTTTATGTGTGTGAGGTCTTGATGAATTGCTTAGGAATCAGTTCTAGAAGCAGGCATCCTGAGTCAAGGCACTTTTATTTCAGTGAGGTTAGGAGGCCTTAGTTGCAGTCAGCAGTCTAAGGCTTAGGTTTAACCTTGGTATTAATAAACTCTCTTCCATTACCAAAGTTCACTGATATATAGATACCCGTACTTATTAGTCACTTACTATATGACAAGTAATTTACCAAGCTCTGTTGATGCTCTTAAGGTATCATAGAGAAGGTGATGTTTCTTGGGAGACACAGAGTAGGATTCAAACCTACATTTGGGGGGTGGAGTTCACCATCCAGACCACATCCTACCACCATGTTGAGTTGAGACATACCATTTCTCTCTCTGCTTCTCTTTCCTTGCAGTTTTCAGTTAGAAATTTATAAATATGTCAAGCATTCAGTTGAATGGGTAGTGGATTCTTCAGGCCCTTGTAGTGATAGAGATGGATTGCCTGGAGATATTTAAAGTGTTGCATATTTTGGCCCAATGTACTGGTAGATACATTAATGATTCTTTGACCAACTTGGCTGTTCTCTTGCAAACATCCAGATGGTGGGATCTGAGAATAGAATTCTCACTAGTAGAATGGAAGTCCCCTGTCTCGGCCATTGCTACCTTACCCAGAAGTTAAACATTATTTGGAAGGTGAGCCAAGATCCACTATTAGGAGTAAATAAGAAATGCTGAGAGGCTGAGATGAGGGAGGCTCCTGGCTCGGACCTTTCTCAGAGGGCTCTTCCGACAGCCTCCTGCTCCCCCTACCTGCACCGCTTATCTGCATGGCTGAGCTGAACCGGTTAATCATTTGCAGCTTAGATAGTTGGCAATGAGGAGGTATCTGGTAACAACTTGAACTTCTGGAGCCTGAACCTTCTCCCCTGGCTGCCATCAGCTTTCAGCTACTGCCACCATAGCGGACTTGTACACAGGGGAGGGCTCTTCCATCTGGTCTCTTCCCTTCCGGTGTCTGCCGGGAACTCACCGTCTGAGTTCTTTCCCCCTGGAGAAGTCAGAAGACCCAAGAGGCGCTGGTGACTTAGATAGTAGTATTTTGTACACTTCCAGCCTCTCTGGTTTCTACTTACGTTCCAAATCAATCCCCTCCCCCTTTTTGATAGATGAGGAACCAGCACAGGGTCCAGAGACCCGGTGGGATAACCAGGACATTCAGCAAGAGACTCCTGGTCGTTTAGCCTCTGTCCGAGTTCAGATTGATCTTGACACATGATATGGGAAGGCTGAGCTCCAGAGCAGCTGCGGGTGGGGGGAGTTGTGGGGTGTGTGGAAAGGTGTAAATGGCTCTCAGCTGGAGATGAGAAGCCAAGAGGCACTCCCAACTAGAACCTAGAGCTAAATATGGACTCTGCTCTGCCCTTAGCGAGCATGGGACTGCTGGAGACAGACACCACAATTCAAAATACAGTTCACTCACTACCTGCTTTAATGCCAGCCCCGGGGCTTATCAATAATGATTTCATAATATTGCACTCTTGTGCGCATTCTCCTTATGCGCTGATCTGGTGGTGTGTGTGATGTGTGGGCTGTGGGCTAGGAGATGGTGGTCTCCTCTGGTAGTGTATGTATGATGTGTGGGCCGGGCTAGGAGAAGCTGTTTGGAAGAAAGACAAGTGCTGTATAGCTGTCAAGGAGTTGTAATGTAGAGGAGAGGTAGGCAGCAGAAGAGAAACCACAGCAAAGCGTGCTGACATTCATGGAGGAAGAAGGTGGGCAGGCAGATACCCAAGCTGTCCAGAGGTTGGAGCAGGTAAGGTTGAGGCCAGAAGTTTCAAGCAGGCAGTGAGCTCAGTGGTTGGGTTGGAATAGGCCACATGAAGAGGCAGTTGGGCGTGGGGGGCTGGGGAGGAGTTGGTTCAAGCAGAGGGAAAGCACGAATCATGTACTTTTGGGGTGTTGGCAGTTAACTTTCATGGCTAGAATGTGATGTACATGGAAGGACATGTACTCAATGAGTGTCCCAGGGATCAAGTTATGAGCAACCCCAAACGTCCTGGCAAGCCCCGGAGTCTAAATTTCAGATAGGGAAATGGTTCTGGTTTGCATTTTTAATCAGTCTGGTTTTAGAGACAGGATGGGAGGAGAGAAACTTTGGAGGCCGAATTCAAAGTGCAATCCCCTGGAAAGGAAAGGAATTCCAGTTGCTTTGGGCCTGCAAAGGGAGATGGAGGTGGCCAGAGAACTCACCGGGATTTCAAGAGGAGTGTAGTAGGACCCAGGTTGCAGACTGGTACCCTGGGTTGGGAGGGGGTTGCTCCCATGCTCTGAAATGGAAGATGAAAAGGGAGATGCTGTGTCGGGTCTGCACATCAGAGCTCTCTGGGAGACAACCAAGTGTCCATTGAATGCTTAGATTTCTCAGGACACGGGCGTCAGGGAAAGGTGTGTTCCAGTGATAAAGATGTAGGATTTGTTGACAAATTCATTGACAGGTAACAGTTACAGAAGCAGGCCAGCTGGGAAGAACAAGGGAGCAAATTGTTTGAACTTGGGAGTAAGGCCTAGATGTGGGCAGACCCTCCGATTAAAAAGAAAAAATAAGCTGGGTGGTGGCAATGCACGGCTTTAGTCCCTTAACTTGGGGGGGGGGCATAGGCAGGCAGATCTCTGTGAGTTTGAAGCCAGCCTGGTCTACAGAGCGAGTTCTAGGACAGCCAAGGCTGCACAGAAGCCCTGTCTTGAAAGACAAAACAAAAATCAAACAAACAAATGAAAAACAGAGGGCACTGGTGAGATGTCTCAGCAGGTAGGAGTGCTCGACAGGAAAGTTTAAATGTCAGGGATGGAGCCAGCTTGGCAGGGAAGGGGTGCACTGGGCTGGCTCCAATCTCAGCTCTGTCACTCACTGAGCTTATGACCTTGGCCCAGGCATTCTTTCTCCCCCACCTGTTGCTCATTCATAGAATAGGAGCCGTAATGGTGCCCTTGCTCATGGGATTTGAAGGTAAAATGAGTTCATCTCTGAAAAGCATTTAGAAGAGTGGTACCGTGTGTGTGTGTGTGTGTGTGTGTGTGTGTGTGTGTGATCTTTTAAGATAGTCAATAAAGGGATATTGTCGGAAATAAATGATCAATCACAGCAAAAGATCTGTAGAAGGAGCCACAAACCAAGTGAGGTTTTAAGAGCACTGGCTGTTCTTCCAGAGGACCAGGGTTCAATTCCCAATACCCACGTGGCAGCTCACAATGGTCTCTAACTCCAGTTCCAGGGGATCTAACACTTTCACACAGACACACCAAGCACCAATGGACATAAAATAAATACATTTTAAAAAAGAGCTGAGTGGACATTGGTCACCAGTGTTCACACTGCAAGGAGGTTGAGGTTGAGTGTACAGATGTGTAGACATGTGCAGATGGGGGATGTACAGGCAGATGCAAATGGGCTGATAGGAACATTCCCATTTGTTCTCCCAGAGCTGCTGAAAGGCAGGGGTTCGTCTAGCACTGGAGAAGGTTCAGCGAGGTCCTATAGAGGCTGCGGGACAGGTGTCTGGACACAAATAAGTCCAGGTTCTGCCTCCCTCCACCATAGTCATCCCCATTTTCTTGTTCCCTGAGGACTCAGCCAAGATTTTCCCTGTATTTCTGGGGAGCCATAGGAAGCTTTTCTCTCTCTTACCTGTAACTGTTTTTCCTGTACTTGTGAGAATTTCTACTTCTACTTCATCATCCCTTCCTGAGATATTCCTGAGGCTAATGTCATTTCAAGGGTGATGTTGGAGGTCCTTCTGTGGGCTGCATATATGTGTTGCTTTTATTGGTTGATGGATATAGCTGTTTCAGCCATTGGCCAAGCAGAATATATCTAGGTGGGAATTCCAGAGAGAGAGAGAGAGAGAGAGAGAGAGAGAGAGAGAGAGAGAGAGAGAGAATAAAGACAGGGTCAAGGAGATATCATGTAGCCACTGGGGAAGCAAGATGCCAGGGCAGCATCACTGGTAAGCTACAACCATGTGGTGATACACAGATTAATAGAGATGGGCTACTATTTTAAGAGAGAGCTAACCAGTAAGAAGCCTAAGCCCTTGGGCAAACAACTGAAACTGATATTAAGCCTCAGTGTGGTTATTTCATAAAAGACTGAGAAGACTTGGTGGGCAGAGAGAAACCAGTCCAGTTCTGGACTAGACGAAAATGTCCCCTCTACATAAGGGAACATGTTATGTGTCATCACATAGAAGAGCAGAGCCACAGGGCTGGAGAGATGGCTCAGTGGTTAAGAGCACTGGCTGCTATTCTAGAGGTCCTGAGTCCAATTCCCAGAACCCACACAGGAGCTCACAACTGTCTGTTACCATAGGTTCCATGGGATCTGATGCCTTTTTCTGCTGTGTAGACATATATACAGACAAAACACATACGCATAAAACATGTAAATAAATATTTTTTTAAAAAGCATGGCCACCGTGTTTCCTAATCTGACTATTTAAGTAAATGGTCCCCTTTATTTCAGCCATCTTAAAAGAAAAAAGAAAAGCCCTTCAATGTTAGCTAGGTGAACGTAGTGAGTTCTAGGTAAGCCTGGAATACAGAGTGAGGACCAGTCTCCCAAACCAACCAGCCAACCCACCCACTGTGAAACACATAAGCAGACTCGCCCACCTCGGCCAGCCCCCTTGGTCTGGATGTCATGAATGTTGACTAGATTGCTCATGGTGGCAGTGTCTTAGAAGAGAAAAGATGCCCAGTGGAAAATCAGGACAGTGTGGTATCACAATAGCTAAGAGTCAAGGGCACAGTGTACTGTCCCCAGAGTCCTCGAGTCTGGATCACCTGTCCAGGCGTAGCCGACACTGTGCCCGTTTTCATATCCAGTACCCTGGAGAGCTTAACTGAATCGAGAGGAAGTTAAGGATTAAACTCTGGAGCCATCTTCTCTCATCTAGTCGAGAGAATAAGTAACGTGCAGGAAATGCTTCTTAAGACCTCACTTTGGGTTATACGGTTAAAGCTTCAGCTTTTAAAACGTCTCATCAGGACTGGGTGTGTGGCTCAGTGGCTGTGAGCACTTTCCTAACAGCCCCGGAGTCCTGGCACTTCAAACAAACACATTCAAAACTATTTCATGAAGCAGGGACACGAAGTATGATACTTACAGGGGTTCCAGGGCACTCAGTTCTCATTTTTTAAAAAGATATTTTATTTGTTCTCATGTCTCTGTGTGGGTAAGTGCACTGGAGGGCAGGTGACCTTGGAGGCCAAGAGGCATCAGAGGCCCTTGGAGATGGAGTTGCAGACAGTTGTGACAGCCCTGGCATGGGCGCTGGGAACCAACTCAGCTCCTCGACAAGAGTAGTGTGTGCTCATAACTGCCAAGCCATCTCTTCTGCCCACATTTTTCGCTCTTTGGTGGAGGTTAATATTTAGCCATGTGGAGGTTGTGAAGAAAATGAGGAGCTCATGGGGAAAGTAAGTAGCTGTATTCTAGAAAAAAAATCAACACTTACATGTTTAATGTTTACAGTAGCATGCAGGATAATGATCACCCGCACCTTGTCAGAAGTTGCTTGGGTGATTTATGGGTTTTGTGCTCTGACTTGACTAGTGTTCATGTTTGCAAGACAAAGAACATGTGGGACTGAACCTAGGTGAGGTGGCATCTGATGCTTGTAAAAGTTGGGGGCTTCTCAGTGTCTGTAAAAGAGAGGAGAGTGTCCAGGGCCACAGTGCAGCACTATCTAGTGAGGTGGTCCAGAACCTTCAGAGAGCCCGTCCCACAAACCAGGGACCTTCTTGTGCCCAGCAGGTGTGTATGGTGTCTCGATGTTGAGTTCCTCAACCCAGGCACTGGCTAATCAATGACCCCCCCAGCTCTTCTGGGCATTCTCCTCTTCTGTAGACTCCATGAAGCCTGAGCACACATGGATCCGCTTTGATGTTTTGACTTCTCACACCCAAAGAAGCGTTGTCCACGTTTGCCATCATTGTCCATCCTGTCACACCATCTTTGAGCCAGTCTGCCTTTGCTCTCTATGGATTTGCCTATTGTGGATATTTTATTTATTATTTTGAGTTTTTTGAGACAGGGTTTCTCTGTCTCTTTGGAGCCTGCCCTCAGATGCACAAAGATCTACTTGCCTCTCTCTGCCTACCGAGTGCTGGGATTTAAAGGCGTGTGCCACCACTGCCCAGCTAATAATTGTTTGTTTGTTTGTTTGTTTATGGTGTGTGTGTGTGTGTGTGTGTGTGTGTTTTCAGAGGACAGAAGAGGGTACCAGATGAATCTCCTAGAACTGGAGCTACAGATGGTTGTGAGCTGCTATGTGGGTGTTAGGAATCAAACCTGGGTCCTCTGGAAGAGCAGTCAATTCTCTTAACCACGGAGCCATGTCTCCAGCCCCATGGACATTTTATGTAGAGAAATTATTCAATATTTATTCCTTGTCTTTAGCAAAATTCTTTCAAGATTCAGGTATGTCCCAGCATGCATCAGTACTTCCTTCTAATCTATGAACAGGTAATATTCATCATATGGATGGATTTACCATCAGGGATAGTTTCAACTTAAGCCCTGATACCGTGAACATTCAAGTTTGCTTTTCATTTTAAATTTTCATTTCTTTTGGGTATGTATCTAGGTGTGGAATTGCTAGTTTAAGTCAACTTTATGTTTAGTTTTTAAATCAAATCACAGCATTTTCTGCTTGAAATCTTCCAGAACTTTCTACCTATCTTTCCCAGTTCCAACTTTTTGACATTGCCTGAAAAGCTAAATAGACATGACAAGTCCAACTTTTGCTCCTGCCCCTCTTGTCTATACACCCTTGGGTATGTTATCCAAATTTTAAAAATTATTATTTATGTATTTATTTTGATTTTTTTAAAAGACAGGATTTCTCTGTGTAGCCCTGGCTGTCCTGGAACTCACTCTGTAGACCAGACTGGCCTTGAACTCACAGAGATCCGCCTGTCTCTGCCTCCTGAGTGCTGGGTTTTTTTTAATTGCCCAGGGAACCTGATTTCATTTCCATAGGTGTTCTCTGCCTGGGATGCTTTTTCCCCAAACCCAGCATCTGGTACTGAGAGAACCAGTTATGGAATGAGAGTGAAGTTGTATGTGTGATAAATGTTTTACATGTGGGAACCATTTTGATGGTCACCCATACACAGAGCCTCTGTTAATGTTCTGGCTAGAGTTTGTGGTTGATGTAACCAAGCGCTTTTCTTCTCCGTGTCCAGGAAATAATCCAGTTCTGGCTCTCGAAGGGTGTTGATGGCTTTAGTTTCGATGCGGTTAAATTTCTTCTGGAAGCGAAGGACCTGAGAAACGAAATCCAAGTAAATGCATCCCAAATTCCGGTAAAGTGTTATTTTTAAACTTTTTTTTCTTTGCCTCATCTGAAAACATTATTGAATGTTTCAGTTTTTTAAAATTTACGACATTTTAAAAAGTATGCATATATGTGTATTTGTGTGTGGGTGTGTGCATGTGAGCGCAGGCACCCACAAAAGCTAGAGAAGGGTGTTGGGTTGCCCTGGGGGATCACTAGGTGGGCGCTAAGAACTAAGCATGTCCTCCACAAGAGTGGTGAACAGTCTTCCCGTGAGCTGTCCCTCCAGTTCCATGTCTTTTGTCCCAGTCCAAGATTCCAGTTACAAAGATGAGCCATTCCTGCCTACAGGAAGAACTTTCTAATCCGTGCACCTGATGGCTTTTTCCACCTGTTCTTTACAGAGCAAGGATTGCTTGAGAATCCTTCCTCAGTGAGGGTTCTGGGGACACAACATGGATTAACAGGTCTACTGATCAAAGGATCCTTTGCTCACTGAGAGTTTTGTTTTTCTTCATTTTACTCAGACTCAAAGGTAGAGGCCTCAATTTCCTGGGACTTTCCTATTGATCAAGGTCACTCACAGCCGGAACAGAAGGGAATTAGCACTGAATGTTTCGTCTAAATCTCTCAACTTTTGAATGAGAGAGGCTTCATGATGTCCATTTAGTAAGACTTAGGATTCAGGATTACAGGGGTTGCCAATAGAATCCCAAATGAAATCTACCTCATTACAGAACTTGGGCTCTTTGGGGCTCTACACTATTGATTTTCACCTCAACCCCACACCATGACATATGGAGTTCACATGCTACCTTAGTCCTCTGGTTGACCATTCTTGTATAGTCACCCTAGTTTTTATGACCAAGTAGACAGCAATTCCAACACATACTACAAAATATTGGAGTGTCATGTATTACAGGATAGAATGTTATATGAACCAAATAAGTAAATCACAACAACGTGCAGCAGTCTAGATGAATTTTAGCAATACTTTGTGTGGTTGAAAAAAATCTAAAATTTATATATAGTATGATGCTGTTAATGAAGATAATTATGTAAAATGAATTGCACATGGATATTTTGTTATAAAGCTTCTACCTTTTGTCCTGAGCTAATTTATGCGATGTTATCACTTCATTAAGCAAACCAGTTGACTACTTACCTAACTCCTCACATATCTACCTAACAACTCCTATGTATTTAATTACTTATCTTTTTACCTACTCACCTACTTACCTAATTAACTACTTACTAACTACTCACCTACCTAGTTAACTATTTACCTTCTTACCTAACTACTCACAACCTATCTAACTACTCATCTACTTCCTTAATTAACTACTTACCTAACTACTCACCTACCTACCTAATTAACTACTTATCTACCTACCTAATTAACTACTCACCCAAATACCTAATTAACTATTTACCTAACTACTCACCTACCTAGTTAACTATTTACCTTCTTACTTAACTACTCACCTAACTAACTACTTACCTAGCTACTCACCTACTTACCTAACTACTCACCTACCTGCCTAATTAACTACTTACCTACATACTTAAAGAGAAATAGATTGTAAGATGATGTCATGGAACAAATTTATAATTAAGTCTATTATTATTATTATTATTATTATTACTATTATTATTATTATTTGCTCATAACTTCTGGTAAGACAGAAAAATGAAAACAATAGGCAATGCTAGCCCATTTTCTCAAAGAATACTACTCACTTCTGCTTGGAGAGGAAATCTTGAAGTCACCTTGCTGATGGTAACATGATGAGATAAAGCATATTTCTGCAAGCAGTTTTAGGAAGACACCCAGGATTAATCTGCTCTTCCCCCAAGTCAAACCCTTTCACTTTTAGAGGTGAAGTCAACCTACTCAGAGAGCTCACTGACAGGCAGCGTCTGGTTGGGATGGCTCAGCCAGTCTGTGTCCAGCCCAGGACCTCAGGCATGTGAGCTGTAGCGTTTTGATCCTTCTAATCTGATGGAGGCATAGGCATGACTGTTGGGAGCCATCACTGGAACCCTAGGAAAGTTAAGAGTAATGAAGGATGGAGATGGCAAAGAAACGAAGTTAAATGTTGATATTTTACAAACAAATATAGTATAGATGTGCAACAAGCTCTTTTATTTTTATTATTGTTTTTCAAGTCAGGGTTTCTCTGTGTAGCTCTAGCTGTCCTGGAACTTGCTCAGTAGACCAGGCAGGCCTTGAACTGAGAGATCTACCTGCCTCTGCCTCTGCCTCCCAAGTGCTGGGATTAAACACATGCACTGCCACTACCTGGTTTACAAATTCTATCTGCAAGGAGAATGTCTGAAGCACTCAGGGAATTATATTTAGGGAGTGTTTTTTAATTAAAGTTTTGGTATTTGCTAAAATTTAGTTTACTGAAATGGATGATAGAGAAATTGAAGGTAGGGTTTGAATGAATCCACCAGACCTGCCACTACAAGAAATGCTTACTGTTCACCTGATTTCTCAAGTTACCGATTGAAGGGGCTGGAGAGATGGCTTAGAGGTTGAGAGCATTGGCTGCTCTTCCAGAGATTCTGAGTTCGGTTCCCAGCAACCATACGGTTGCTCACAGCCATCTATAATGAGATCTGGTGCCATCTTCTGGCCTGCCTGCAGACATGCAGGCAGAATACATAAATAAGTATTTGGAAAAAAAAAGTTAATAGTTTAAGAGCCCATGCAATACTAAGGATCGAGAGTATCTGTCACCCACAAGCCTCTTGTGTACTGAGCAAATACCTGCTTAGTTCAAGTCATCTGATCAGACCACCTGAGCTTATATGGAGCCCTGGTGCATGGTGAAATGGTGCTAACCATGCTGTCCTGTTTCCCCAAGGACACAGTTACCCACTACTCAGAGCTCTACCACGACTTCACCACAACCCAAGTGGGAATGCATGACATTGTCCGGGACTTCAGACAGACCATGAACCAGTACAGCAGGGAGCCTGGCAGATACCGGTAACCATAGGACCAAATAGTCTAAAAAACAAAACAAAACAAAAAACAAAACAACAACAACAACAAAAAAAAACCCAAAAAACAAAAAAAAAAACCTGTATATATTGTATTTTATTATTATTGTTATTTTTGGTGTGTGTGTGTGTGTGTGTGTGTCAGATATGTATGTAAAGGCATGGATGTCATAGAACACAAATGAAGGTCATACAATAACCCTGTGGTTCTCTTTCTCTTTATGTGAGTTCCAGGAATTGAACTCAGGCCGCCAGGCTTTTGTGGCACTTTCTGAGCCATGCCATGTTCCCACCTTTAAATTTTTTAAAATTAAATTTAACCTACATAATTATATTTTACAACTTGATTATCCCCGAGTATGAAATAGTCTCTTAGGCTGCTAATCTTTGCCGATTTCTAGTTTCCTCTTCTATAGAGTGTTAAAGATGAAATTAATTTGAAATAATATATCAGTTAGGTGTTAGATGTGAACTTTAAAATATTTTTATTAATTCTTTGGGAATTTCGTACAATGCATGTTGCTTTTGTATGTTTGTTTGTGTGTGGGTTTTATACATGTGCATGCAGATGTCTTCATGAGCCAAGAGAAGGTGCTCATCCCTTTGGAGGTGGAATTACAGGTGGCATTGTCACTGGCATGGGTACTGGAAACTGAACTCAGATCCTCTTCAAGAGGAGTATATGTTTTTAACTGCTGGGCCACTTCTCCAGCCCTGCAAACTGTTACTTCCATCATTATAACTGGGGCTATGTTTCTTGAATAGTGTGAACCCAAATATTCCAACTGAATTTGTCAATAGATCCCAGCAGTTAGCACAACTGTGAGAGCAAGGGGCTGAGATGGGTTCCTGATCTGTAGCTCAGTGACCTTGGGTTTGTCAGTTGGAAGGAATGGATTTTCTCATCAATAACCTTTAGAAGGCTGTTGTGAGATTAGACAAGATCATGTATGTAAGTCACTTAAAATAGTGTCTGGTGTTTAAGAAACACTGTTAAGTTGTAAGTTCAGCATCCCTAACATGAAAGTCTAAAGATTCTGAAGCATTTTGGAATTTCTCCCCCCAACTGGAGAAACAGTTTCTCTGTGTAGTCCTGACTCTCCTGGAACTCACTCTGTAGGCCAGGCAGGCCTGGAGATCAGAGATTCACCTTCCTCTGCCTCCCTGAGTGCAGGGATTAAAGGTGTGCATCACCACTACCCAGGCACATTTTGAATTTCTACGGTTGGATTAGGAACTATTACTGAGTAAAGTTCTATAGAAATATTCTAAACATGGGGTGGTGGTGGCTCACACCACTTGGGAGGCAGAGGCAGGTGGATCTCTGAGTGAGCTCCCAGATAGCCAGGACTGTTACACAGAGAAACCTTGTCTTGCAAAACAAAAACAAAAACAAAAACAAAAAAACAACAAAAAACAAACAAACAAAAGAAAGAAAAAGAAAAGAAAGAAGAAATATTATAACAATGTAAAAATCTTACAAAGTTTGAGATGTGTCTGGTTTTAAGAATCTTGGAGGGGGTGGGAGGTGAAGAGTGGAGGGGTTGGCACTTAGGAGGCAGAGGCAGAGGCAGGCAGATCTCTGTAAGTTCAAGGCCAGCCTGGTCTACAAAGCTACACAGAGAAACCCTGTGTCAAAAAAAGAAAAAACAAAAGAATCTTGGATAAAGGATACTCACCTTGTATTATTACTAAGTAGCTCACGGAGCAGAATCAGTGAGAACAGCCCCACCCCTCCCCATCCTTGGAGAAGGTGATGGGTTTGCTGGGAGCATCGGCAGGGGTGGGGAGTGCGTTGGCACACATTAAGACCCTACTTCCCACTAATGTGCCACCTCAGCCAGCTAAACGCAGCACTGATGGGCCCATTTCAGGGGCCCATATCATCCCCAGTGGTTTTCCCGAGTGCACATCAATAAAAAGGGGAGAGCCTTTATATGAAGGCATAGACTGGACATTCTAAGTAGGTTGGTGGGAATCTCTAAAGAAAGGCTCCAAGACATTAGAGTTTTAGTCGGGTGTAGAAAGCAGAGAGCAGTGTTGATGGCAAACCCAATTCTGTGTTGGTGTGTTGCTCTCTGGAGAGCCCTGTCTAATGATGGCAGGTGTATATATAGTCATCTCCACTCTTCCTCTTAACGCCCCCCCCCAGAGCTACCCTCTATATCCTACCCCTCCCAACCTTATGTGCTCTTGAAAAAAAACAAAACACCGAGTCCAGTGTATGCTGCTCATATACTCATGTGTGGGACCATCTACTGGAGTGTGGGTCACCTGCCAGAGACCACACCCTTAAAGAAAATGGGCTCTCCTCTCTCTCTCTCTCTCTCTCTCTCTCTCTCTCTCTCTCTCTCTCTCTCTTTCGAGACAGGGTTTCTCTGTGTAGCATTGGAGCCTGTCCTGGAACTCCTGGAACTATCTGTTGTAGAGCAGGCTGTTCTTGAACACACAGAGATCTGCCTGCCTCTGCCTCTGTCTCTGCCTCCCAAGTGCTGGCATTAAGGCATTAAAGGTGTGCACCACCACCACCTGGCTTTTTTTTTTTCTTTTTTTGAGGCAGGGTCTCTCAATAGCTACTGAGCCAGTCCTGGAACTCACTCTGTAGACCAGGCTGGCCTCAAACTCACAGAGATCTGCCTGCCTCTGAGTGCTGAGATTAAAGGCATGCACCACCAATACACAGCAACTCTTTCTCTCTTACTAGCCCAACTGTCAGTGGCTTCTCAGCTAGGGGTAGGAGGGTTCATGAGGAGTCCTTCCCCTCTCCAGCTAGAATGTTGACTGGCTTGACCTTGTAGGCAGTCATAGCTCCTAGGAGTTTGTCAGAGCAGCTGCCACATCTAGAAGGTGCTGTTCTGCTTCAGTTTGGAGGCCTCTGCTTCTGCCACGATGGTCCCTGAGCCTTACAGATATGACATAGATGTGACTGTGGCCGACCCTCCACAGACCCTGATCCTCTACACTCCCACCAGTTGTTTCTGTGCCAACTGCCACTGTATGCAGAAACTAAACTCTGATGAGGTGACCACAATGACATACGATCATGGCAAGCTCTAAGCAGCTACAGAGTTGTTCCCATTCTTTGTCAGAGGCTGAAGACTAATAGGTTTTCTGCCCCACCCCCACCCCTCACTCCAGCCCTCATAGTAGGCTTCTCCAACACTGTGAGCCAGATCAAGCCAAACTGAAAAGGTGTAACAACAGCTTTATTTGAGCGAAGCAACTCCTGGGCAGCTTCTCCAGTTCTAGAGATCGAGGCCAGAGAAGCTGCCCACCTGAAGTAAATGGAGATTATATAAGTTGTGGGTGAGGGGTGATGGCATGTCCACCACGAGCCAGGTTTGTGCCTAAGTCTGGTCAAAATCTGAGCACTTAAGGTGGGGACTTGGGCGGCTGGCAACTTCAGGGCAGGAGGCCGCTGTAGGCGCCAAGAATGGAGAACTGGGCTTTGGCACCTTCCCTTTGTTTGGAGACTCTGAGTGAGTGGGCAGGGTTTGGGGAGAGAGACAGGAATGCGGCTTTCCCCATCATGTAGGGACAAGCTGGAGGTTCCAACCGAATGCAGACAACAAAGTTTGCCAACTCTTCCAGGTTCATGGGGACTGAAGCCTCGGCAGAGAGCATTGAGAGGACTATGATGTACTACGGCTTGCCATTTATCCAGGAAGCTGACTTTCCTTTCAACAATTACTTTACCACACTAGACAGCCTTTCTGGGCACACTGTATATGAAGTTATCACATCCTGGATGGAAAACATGCCGGATGGGAAGTGGCCCAATTGGATGGTAAGCTCTCATGCAACAGTGTATGTGGGTCTGCTGTACTTGCTGGATGGTCACCTCTGAAGTGAGGCGTGTCTTTGTCCCTAGGTGACCTTACTCAGGGTTAGTGGTTAAGTCTGCCCACGCTGTAACAAAACACCATGACCAAAAGGCAAGTTAGGGAGGAAAGGGTTTATTTGGCATGTACTTCAGCGTTGTAGTCCATCATTAAAGGAAGCCAGGACAGGAACTCAAACAAGGAAGGATCCTGGAGGCAGCAGCTGATGCAGAGGCTGTGGAGGGGTTCTGCTTACTGGCTTGTTCCCCACAGCTTGCTCAGCCTGCTTGTTTTGTAGAACTCAGGACCACCAGCCCAGGGATGACACCACCTACTATGGGCTGTGCCCTCCTCCAGTGATCAGTAATTAAGAAAATGCCCCACAGGTTTGCCTGCAGCCCAATCTTATGATGGCATATTCTTAATTAATGTTCCTTCCCTTCGGATGACTATAGTTCTTATTACAAAGGGGAGGACATTATCCATTCAACTAAATCAATACTTAGTGGAGTATTTACATATGTTTAGAACTCCACTAAGCTTGCTTGGGGATGGCTACCAAACTGTAATTCCACCCAACATTCCATATTCACGATCCCATTGAACACAGGTTTCTGGTATGGGAGGCTACATGTTAGGGTAGATTTTGTGGCACACAGTGTCATGCAAGAGGCATTGAAAGCAGAGATGATTCTGGAAGACCCTGCCCCTTCTACACATGGCCTGCTTCTCTTAGTGTGGAAAGCAATAGTGTGCGTCTCTGTTGTGAGTACTGTAGGCAGCTGGCACACTCTGCTAGGGTGTCCAAACACAGGAAGGGCACAGTACAAATCTGACACAGAAGATAAGCACTGGGCATAAGGCACTTCCAGGAGTGGACCCTGAAGGTGTAGGAGTTGCCCTGGAAGTCAGCGATCAAGGACTGTGTGTGTGGAGGACAGGGTGTTACCACCTATTATGGCAGTTTAATGTGCTTTACTATCATGCCCTTTTACTCACCACATTCACACCTCCATCTTCACTCAGAAACTAATCTTTTTGTTTGTTTTTTGTTTTTGAGACATAGTTTCCTTCATAACATTACAGTTCATCTTAAGGGTGAAGTCCCAGATGGCCATGGTGGCACATGCCTTTAATCCCTGCACTCTGGTGGCTGACACAAGTAGATCTCTATGAATTCAAGGCCAGCCTGATCTATACGAAGACTTCTAGGCCTGCCAAGGTTACATAGTGAGACCCTATCACACACACACACACACACACACACACACACACACACACACACACACACACAAAGAAGACCTATAGGACCAGGACCCTGGACTATATAGGGTCACCATCTTTCACCTCTCACATCTTGTCCAATAGAAGGGTCTTCAGGGACAATGAAAGATACAGAAATGTCCCCTTATATAAGGGCGCCTTTGAATGACCTGCATGAGCCCCAGTCCTCTTTAGGCTGGCTCCAAACTTTCTGTGTTACTGAGATGACTTTGAACTTCCGATTCTTCTGCTTCCACTCCCCGAGTAGAAGGGAGTTGGAGCACACTGTCAAGCATCGTTTTACACGGAGCCAAGCATCGTTTTACACGGAGCTGGGGAAGGAGCACAGGGCTCCCATGCTGTCAGCAAGCACTCTACCAGCAGCCCTGGTTCTTGTTTTCAAGCAAGACCACTGTGTCTGTCTCCTCTGGAGAATTCTCCTATGCATGTGTTGTGCATGGCGTGTCTCAGGGACATTGTTCATTTTTCTTCATTCTTCTCTTTAGATCAACTCAGTTGGCCCCGTCTTCGAGATTTCTGATTCTTCTAGCAATTCAAATCTGTTAGACTGTCAGGGATATTTCAGTTTCTGTTACTGTGCTTTTCAACTCCAAACTTCCTATTTGGTTCTTTTCATAATTATCCATATTGATATGTGTGAGGCATGACTCTCATGCTTGCCAGTCTTCAAATATAGCAATATAGCTTAGGTTCTCTGGATATATATATATATATATATATATATATATATATATATATCGTTTAGTAAACCTAAAAGTTTTGTGTCATTTATAAATTTCACATATAAAACTGAAGGAAATGTCACTCTTTAAAATAATATTTGGTGGTAGTTTGGTGTTTCTTTTTTCTTTTTCTCTGTGTAACTCTGGCTAACCTGTAACTCTCTCTGTAGACTAGGTTGGTCATGAACTTACAGAGATCTGCCTGCCTGCTCCTCCTTAGTGCTGGGATTAGAGGTGTGTGTCACCACTGCCTGGCTCAGTTTAACTTTTCTTAATCTCAGTAACATTTTCCATTAGCTTTCCTCATATTTATGTGTGGGCCATATTTTTCCATGTCTTCTACTTTTTTTTTTTTTTTTTTTTTTTGTGGGGACATGGATGTTTTAGGTAGTAGATAGAGTAATTCTAGAAATCCCATTTTTCTTCCATAGTGCCTATTGTTTCTTAGATGTTCTTAGATGAAATCTGTAAAACCAGCTGCCTGTTTTGTTTGGCTAGAGACACCCTTGCTTGGTTGGTTACTCACTGGAAATTCTTTTTAAGGAAGACTTTTCCCTTTACTTTTTAATTATGTGTATGTGTGTGTGTCTGTTGTGAGTGTGTGCCTTTGGATGGAACAGGGTATTGTATCGCATGGAGCTGATGGTATAGGTAGACATGAGCTGTCTGATATGGATCCTGGGAACCAAATTCAGTTAGCCATGGGGCCATTTCTCCAGCCTTGGGTGGGGGTGGGGAGACTGTTCTTCAGATGCCTTGAACTGGTGAGTCTCTGTCATTGCTGAGGGGTTCTTTGTGTGTAGGGGGCAAGTGTCCAATCCCCTGCAGTCACCTTAGAACCCTGCTAGTCTTCACATTCTATTTGGGCAGAGCCTTGGGTCAACTGAGATGAGACTGGATAGGACCTTCCAAGGGCTTCCCCCAGACAGCTGCAGAACCTCTCCATGCACACAGGCCCGTCCTTAAAGAGCTTTCTAGAGTTCCAAGATTACATAGGAATGTTTACAGGCCTCTCTTGGAGTCTCATTTCCCAGTCGTTGTCATCATCATGGTCTTCTTCTTCTTCTTCTTCTTCTTCTTCTTCTTCTTCTTCTTCTTCTTCTTCTTCTTCTTCTTCTTCTTCTCCTTCTCCTCCTCCTCCTTCTCCCTCTCCCTCTCCCTCTCCTTCTACCTTTCCCTCTCCCTCTCCCTCTTCCTCCTTCTTGGGTTTGGGTTAACCTCAGCATAATACCATAGCCATAGGAATGGAAAATGTTGTCATGAATGTTATGGGCATGAGTCTCTTGCTGTTTGTACAGTCAGTCCTGAATTGATTAGCTAACACTTAACCGAAAGTGAGTTGAGGCATTTTACACAATAGCGGATTCCAGACGATGCTGCAACTATTGAACTTTAAATCCATTCATCCCTGCTCAGGGCTTTTGGGCTTCTGTATTTTAGCTGCTGTTGGTAGGGCTGTTGAGCATATCATGGACTTGAAGAGAGCGAATTAGGGAAACTTAAAATTCCGTAGATATGAAGTGCTCTGTGTTTTGCTGAATAAGTTAATCTGGAAACACTGCTGCCTTAATTTTAAGCGCTTTGGGGAAAAAAATGTGGATTTTTAGTATTTGCCAACATTTCTCTTGTTTGGGAGATTTTTTTAAAAATTGATTTGTCAGTGGTGCTGGAATTCAACCAGGGCTTTATGTATGCTAGGCATGTGCTCTCCCACTGAACCGTGTCCCCAACTTTAGGAGCTATTTCCAGATCCTTATTCTGCCAGCTAGATGTGCCCTGATGCCACAGCTTTTATGATGTTGTTTGAGCAGTTACAGAAAGTACTCTGACTGTTTCTAAGTGTCACAGGTGACTGGGATTGTCCTCAGTCTGTGGGATCAACGTGATCTGTGCCCACTGCTTTGAGCTAATTAGGGAAAACTGTTCTGCTTTCAACTCTGCAAAGAAAGAACTTATACTCTGTGTCCAGATGACCTAAGAAAGTTTGCGAATAGCTTACAGCACTGAAAAGAATAAAAGGAGACAATGTATGACTGAATTTTCTGGCCATAAAACTAGAAAAGCAGAGCCAGGGGGTGATGGCACATGTCTTTAATCCCAGCACCCAGGAGGCAGAAACAGGGGGATCTCTGAGGTTGAGGTTAGCCTGATCTATAAAGTAAGTTCCAGGGCAGCCAGAATGGTTACACAGAGAAACCCTATCTTGAAAACAAAAACAAAACAAAATAAAAATGACAACAACAAACTAGAGAGATACTTTACACAGACTCACAAAGATACAATTATGGGGGCTACCATAGCACGCCTAAGAGAAAAAGCAAGATGCCTTCTTTTTCGGATTGTAGTCAGTCAGACTGTAACTTGAACACTGTCCTTCCTCAAAGCTCTTGTCTTCATCTGTGAAACGGACAGTTGTTGGCAGCAGAGGGCCACGACCCTTGTCTGCCCATTGGATCCAGCTGTGGTGCTCTCCTCCCTTACATGAGCAACACATGTTCTGATATGTAACCAGAGCATTTACCATGTGGAAAACACACACGATTAGAGAACACAGAAAACTTCTGTTTAGTTTATGTACTTTTTTTTGGAGACAGTCTTGTTATGCAGACCAGACTGACCTCAAATTCATGACCTCCCCACTTAGGCCACTTCCTAGCATTGGGATTACAAGCAAGGAGGTCACCATGCCTAATTTTATAAATTTCTTTGTAAGAACTAATTTCCCTTTTTGTCTTTGTGTGTATGTGTGCATGTTTATACGTGTATGTATGTATGTATGAATGTGTGAACAAGGAGGTCAGAAGTCAGCCTTAGATGTTGCTCCCCAAGACCTGTCCACCTTATTTTTAAAAAGGCCTCTCACTGGGACCCAGGCCTCTCTAATTAGGCCAGGTCATCTGGCCAGTGCCCCAGAATCTGTCCTCTCCTCCACCTCCCCAGTGGTGGGATTACTAGGGTGTGCCACCAACCTTGCCTTTTTACATGGGTGCTGTGAATCAAACTCTTCACATTTGTGCAGCAAGCACTTAACCATGGCGCTATCTCCCCAGGCCCCCAGTTTACCTCTGGAAATCGGTTTTGGATAGTTTGGACACATTAGACGTGTCCATCTGTGTTTTCTACTTTGTTCTCTCTCTTGATCTTCTTACATCATTTAAAATGTGTTATGTGTGAATGCCGTGGTGCAGTTGGTTTCCTCCTACCTTTAGGTGGAGTCTGGGGATGGAACTTGGGTTACCAGGTTTGCTTGCAGGCCCTTTTACAACCCAGCCGCCTCACTGGCCCTTGTTTTGCTTTTTATGGGAGAAAACAAAACTCACAAAAAAAACCTTGTTTCCTTTGCTGTTGATATCTATTATTCACACGCAAGAAACATGAAAATGCATCCTTTAAACTTCCTCTGATGCAAAGTACCACTTGCAAGGAGCACTCAGAACTGTTGCCAGTGCTTTGCTGATCATCACCTGGCTTAGTCAGGGTTACTATTGAGGTGGCGATAAAGAGCCATGACCAAAGCAACTTGAGGAGGAAGGCTTTATTGGTATTATACATCTACATTTGTAACCCAGTCACTGAAGGAAGTCAGGACAAGAGCTCAACCAGGACAGGAACCTGGAAGCAGGAGCTGGTGCAGAGTCCTTAGAGGGAACTGCTTACTGGCTTGATCCCCATGGCTTGCTCAGCCTGCTTTCTTATAGAACCCAGGACCACCAGCCCAGGGATGGCCCCACCCACTAATCTGGGCCCTCTCCCATCAATCATTACTTAAGACAATGTCCTACAGACAATCTTTTTTTAAAATTTAAATTAGGAACAATCTTATTTTACACATCAATTCCAGTTCCTTCTCCCTCCCACCTTCCCAAGCCCTCCACTGACCCTCCACCCCATCCACTCTCCAGGAAGAGTGAGGCCTCTCCTGGGGGAATCATCAAAGTCTGTCACTCCTCCATGTATCTAGGCTGAGAGAGTATCCCTCCATGGGGGAATGGGCTCCCAAACCCCATTCCTGAACTAGGGATAAATATTGGTTCCACTGCCAGAGGCCCCATAGATGGTTCAGGCCCCCCAATTGACACCCATATTCAGGGGGCCTGGTTCAGTCTTATGCTGGTTCCCCAGCTGTCAGACTGGGGTCCATGAGTTCCTACTTGCTCAGGTCAGCTGTTTCTGTGGGGTTTCCCAGCATGGTCTTGACTCCTTTGCTCATCATTCCTCCCTTTCTACAACTGGATTCCAGGAGTTTGGCTCAGTGCTTAGCTGTGGATCTCAGCTTCTGCTTCCTTCAGCTACTGGATGCAGGCTCTAGGATGGCATTTAAGGTAGTCATCAATCTCATTATAGGGGAAGGGCGTTTAAGGTAGCCTCTCCACTATTGCTTAGATTGTTAGTTGGGGTCATCCTTGAAGATCTCTGGATATTTCTCTTTAAACCTATAATGGCTCCCTCTATTAAGGTATCTCTTTTCTTGCTCTCCTTTATTCATTCTCTAACTCAATCTTCCTGATCCCTCTTGTTCTCCTCTTCTCTCCTCCCCTTTCTCCTACCTCCCTCCAAGGTCCCTTCCTCTCAGATGACTCTAGCCTATGTCAAGTTGACATAGAACTGTCCATCACAGCAACCATGGTGGTGAAGGGTCAGTTATCCAGCGGGTAGTGGGCTTGGAACCCATTTCTGCGCTAGTTAATACCAGCAATTTCAGAGTGACCTGCCTGTCTGGGGAACTTTCTTTTCAAACAGGGGGACTCTTGTGAAATTGTGTGTGGAGCTGTGCTCTTAAACTATCTGCCTTTCAGACCGGTGGACCAGAGGCTACCCGGCTGACCTCTCGCTTGGGGAACCAGTACTCCAACGCTATGAATATGCTTCTTTTCACACTCCCAGGGACACCCATAACTTACTATGGAGAAGAAATAGGGATGAGAGATATTTCCATTACAAGTTTCAACGAAAGCTATGATACTGTAAGTACAATACATTTCTAGCCATTATGGGTCATGGCTACACTGCCAGACGGTTTACCACTGCTATACTACTACTGAATGTCATGGTCACTTAAAAAAATTTTCAAACTTTTAAAAGTTTTATTTATTTATTATGTGCTCTGCCTGCATTGTGCGGCACTCCAGGCCAAGAGGGGGCACCAGATCCCATATGGGTGCCGGGGGAATTGAACTCAGACCTGGAAAAGCAGCCAGTGCTCTTAATCTCTGAGCCATCTCCTCAGCCCCATGGTTACTTTGTTTTTCTTTTTTTAATAGTAAGGGTTATCTGCTTCCTCACTGAGAAGGTAGCTGAGACGTTCCTGACAACAACTTCTGAGGCAGGCTGACATCTGAGGACCAGTGACTTACTTTGTATCTTATTCACTGTCCTCTCCCACAGGCAGGAACTCCCCTCTGGCTTTTGACTTGCTAGTGAGGTGATCACAGCACAGCCTTGCCCTGTTACCATTGTGTGGCTTTGTCTTTGTCTGAGGCTGTAGCTCTCATGATTGAGTTACTGGGTAGATGGCATCCTGACCCTTTAATTTGTGCAGGTGGATTTCACTTGTGTGAGAGATAGCTTTCTATTTGGTTAATTTAAACTTTTCCTCCCAGCAGCTCACTGTGTGTGGGTTTTCACATGCAAGGATCAGGGTGGGTGCAGGAGCAAGCAGAAGTCAGGGTCTGGCAGTGTTCTTGACTAACATTTTATAGCAGGATGGGGTGTCATGAATTGCTATTGGAATATTCTGAAGTCCTTTTATATTTTCTTAAAAAAAAAAAAGCAGCAGATTCTAAACATGTTAAAGTTCAGTTACGAAAGTGTCATTTCCAGCAAAGGAGATTATTGGCTATTTTCAAACTGAAAACAAGATGCTGACCGACAGTGTATGTTAAGGCTTTTTCATCAAGAGTGCCAGCATCAGCTCAGAACTGAAGGGGCAATGGGAGGTATCGGAGGTAGTCAGGAAGGGTCCAAGACAGATTTCTTGTAATAAACTGATCACTGCTTTCTCTTTTTGGTCTTTTGATATAGAACACTCTTCTGTCAAAGTCACCGATGCAATGGGACAATAGCTCAAATGCTGGGTTTTCTGAAGGCAATCATACCTGGCTACCCACAAATTCTGACTACCACACTGTAAATGTGGAAGTAAGTGTCGATGAAAATGTTATGTTGGTTCTAGAAATAGGGAATGAGTTTCTGCATGGGTTACCATCACCCCAGGCATTTGTAGCACCTTAACTAGGACTCTTGGAATCCATCACAGACTAGTCCTGCAATTTTCAAGAGTTTGGAAATGATGTTTTTGGTAAAATATGACCTGGTACACAGTGCCCATATGAAGAGTCATTCACAGTATTCAGGTGTTCACAGAACTCTGTCTCTCAGAGTTTCCAGCCAGGATGGAAATTCTACAATCTTCACAGCAAGCCTAGTTACCCTTTCTCTGGAACTTAAATAAGTGGTCACTGTGTTTTAAGGGATTAGGAGCCAGACATACATGTGTACTTTCTAAAACACCAGGGGGTGGGGGTTACATACCAACTGACCTAATAGAAATCTTTTAAAAAGGAGAAATCCCTAAACAAAAGGATAATCTAATTATGAATAAAATATAAAATGTGGTTTCAGGAGGATATTGAAAAAGGTAGCCACATATATGAATGGGTTGAATTCATGTTAAAAAATATTCAGATAAGACAAAAATCCAGATATGAGACAGCTAAAATGATACAAATAATTAACAATACTGCAGGCAACTGTAATGGAAAGGAAGCTTGCAATTCAGCTACCAAAAGAATGTTTACACTTTCTAATTAAGTAGTTTTACTCTTAGGTATCTGTATATATGTATGTGCAAATGATAAATATGCAAGCATCTTGTTTGCAAGAGCTGAAGTGTTAGAAATGATGTGTCTATCCAATAGAAAGCCGGTTCATGGGGTCATGGGACTAAGATATAGCTCTTAAGACAAAGACTAGCTGTGCTGGCGAGAGAGGACTTTTAACACATTAGAATACAGCACAGGCTGGGGCTGTGTCACCATCTGTGTAAACACACCTACAGGGTTACCATTTCACGATACCTAAAAAGGAAAGAATTAGAACAGCCATCACCACCTGCCTGTCTTTGGAGGGAGCTGGAGGTGACTGAAGAAAACTTTGCCTTGTATATATTCTTGCAATTCAAATTTATACTATGTGTATGCATCTCCTAGACAAAAGTGACTTACAAAAGGCAGGCTTGGAAATATTTAATAGCAGACAAAATAGAATTCAATATGAAAAGCATTATATGAGAGAAATTTCAGACAGTGAGTAGTCTATTGAAACCCACAAATCTTTATGCATGTTAACAGTGAGAGATTAAAGAGAAACAGACAAGTCCACGATTTCAGGGGAAGAGTTCAAATGAAAGTAGATGAGAAGAACAGCTCACTGGGCACTTCTCATGTAGTGGCACTAAGCTCTGATACTCATGCATTACCTAAGGCTACTGAGAATGAATGACAAACACTGATGTGTCACACACACACCACAGTCACTTTGTACCTGATAAACAGAAGGAACATTTTTAAACATCCATGAAATAGTCACTAAATACACATCATTAAGTATCAACCTGAAAACAACAACAGAAACAATGACGACAACCACCGCCCCAGGAAAAGTGGCTGGCGAGAGTGTAACGAATGAACGTTACCGCTGATTTGGCCACAGCTCCGAATCATTTGGCATTATGCATTGAATGTCTGTATCTTTGACACAGTAATTATCTGTCTGATAATCTATCTTAAATAAATAATATAAAACATGGGAGGAGAGGATTGGAAAATGTAAGAAAATACTACAAGTACAAATGTTTAAAAGTAAAGGGAATGGTAAAACCACTCAACAGGGTATTACCTGCCATTATAGTGACATTTGTGCAGATGATGTAACAGGAAAATGCTTACAAGGGAAAAAAAAAAAAAAAAAAAAAAAAAAAAAAAAGAGGAAAGAACAGCAGTAAATTAGATATGTTTTATGTAGTTGTGAAATAAACCCAAACCTTCAATAAACCAAACTACCTTTTATGGCCGGGGTGGGGTCGGGTTGAGGAGGCAATCAGAAAGCAAATGTAGACTTCTAGAATCTTGGGCTCTACACAGTTTTTCAGTGTTCTTCTCATTACCAGTGATCTGAGTAATGGGGTCTGCTGGACCCCATGATCTCTGCACCGTAGAGCCCTTCTTGTTATCCCACAGCCGAGAACAGCTAAGTCCAAATGCATTAGATGCTTTTTGCTTCTAGGCATCTGGCAGTTACAACACAGCACAGTGACTTCATCCCAGCAATACCCTTAAGTGGAGTCAAATTTGCCTTCTGCAGCTACTCTAAGATGTGGGAGCATTGTGCAAAATGAAATTACTTCCAGACAAGCAAAAAATATAAACTATCATTCCTATGAATTTAGGGCCAACTACTTATAAATACTTTATAATTTGGCAGTTATTTACCTTTTTGGGAAGTTAAAGGGCAAATGGAAGCAAATTTTTTTTTGGGGGGAAGATAAATGATTCTTAAAATAAAACATTTATGTGATTTTTTTTTTTTTTTTTTTTTTTAAAAACAGGTCCAAAAGACCGAGCCAAGTTCAGCGTTGAGGCTGTATCAGGATTTGAGTCTACTCCACGCCAAAGAGCTGCTTCTCAGTAGGGGTTGGTTTTGCCTTTTGAGGGTTGACAGTCACTCTGTTGTGTACACAAGAGAGCTGGATGGCATAGATAAAGTCTTCATTGTGGTTCTGAATTTTGGAGAATCATCAACTCTGCTAAATCTACAGGAAAACATTTCAGGTCTTCCTACGAAACTGAGAATAAGATTAAGTACCAATTCGGCCTCCAAAGGCAGTGAGGTTGACACACACGCCATTTCTCTGGAGAAGGGAGAAGGACTCATCTTGGAGCACAGCATGACGACTCTGCTCCATCACCAAGCAGCCCTCAGAGACAGATGCTTTGTGTCCAGTCGCGCATGCTATTCCAGCACACTGGACATTCTGTATAGCCTGTGTTAGGGGTCTCCATTTAGGAGGCGGCCACCCTGCTGGGTAAGCCTCATGCATGGCCACCAAGTCTTATGTTTCGGTAGCAGGAAGGCAACTGTTTTAGGGAAGATCCTCAAATGTTGGAAAGGACAATAAAATGTTTAAAAGATTCCCCCCCCTAAATTCTAAGGTATTTAAATATGAAGAATGCTATTCTTTTCTTTAAAGTGGAGTTGTGGAAATTGTAAGGTGACTCACTGCCACATTGTCTAAAGATGTTTACTATCAAAGAGTAAGGGTGTGGATTGGTAAACTGGTCAAAGAAAACCCTAATAGGCACAAAGCTGTTCTGGTTGGAAGGGAGGCCTGGCACTCGGTCTCCTGCCCAGTCCTTCTGGCCCCTTCTCTACATCCTACTAAGGGGCGGCTGAAACATGCTCTCCCAGGCTAGCGGATATGTGCTGGTATGAACTGTACAACTGAGAAGCACATTAAGCAAAATTTACATGAAGAAACACCTTTTTAAAAAAATCATGTAATAACAACAACAACAACATCTCACGTTTGCTAAACCAACTGAAAATAAGACTAATTATTTCCTCGTGTTTCCAGTTCCCAGCTGAATGCAGCATTTCAGAATTTTAGGTATTTCTTAAGATCCTCGAAAGCATTGGTGCTGTCAAGTCCAAGTTCCTCGTACAGGAATTTCATCTGGGCTGTGATCTAAGAGAAACACATCTGAGATTAGACAAGGCTGCAGTGTCAGGGTCCCAGAGTGCCCTAATCTGTCTGTCCAAGCTAACCTCAGCCTGCAGTCTTTGCTCCTGGACAGAGCAAACACATCCTAACAATAGGACCCAGTTCCCCCTTAGCAGAGGTCCCCTGCTGGTACGAGCAGCCTCGAGCAGGGCCCCTTCTGCTCTCCCATGCTCACGGCCTGACATTCATGCAGCAGCTCTGCCAGAAACTCTGCCGTGAAGGCCATAATACATCTGCAACCGAAGACTCCATCAAAGCCCAGGGGATGGATGGACAGCATACCTTTTTGTGAGAATCTTCTATTACATGGTTCCCTCCGGGCTGAACATCTAAAATGATGTTGGGGGGCTGATAGCCTAGAAGAGTTAATAGATAAGTAATCAGGTCATGAGAAAACAGACCCATCCCTCCCTCTCCTTTGGAGTACTTATTCAAACAGCAAAGGAACAAAGAACAAAGCCACCATCAACCATCACTACCACCTAAGAGATGGTGGCAAGGGGCAGTGGGCCAATGTCTACACCAGGGGAAGCAGGACACCTAATGCCCGAGGAAGCTGGGCGCTTGGACTGGCACACAGAGGAAGACTGTGACCTGTGACCTAGGGTGTGTGTGTGTGGCTGTGACCTAGGAGGGGGACAATGGCTGTGACCTGGGCCGGGGTGTGGGGGTGTGGGGGTATGTTAATGGCTGTGACCTAGGAGGTGGTCAATGGCTGTGAGCTAGGAGGGGTCATTAGTCTGTGGAATCTGACAGTTGGGACCCTAGAAACACCAGCTATGGCAATGTGGAGTGAGAACTGGAGCTGGGTACAGGAAGGTCTCTTCCTACTAAGACAGGCACTGTCCTAGTAGCCATTTGTAAGGCAAAAAGAAGAATTGGTTGTGTGAGCTTGTGTGTCTCACAGGCATGCAGGACCCTCTGGAGCAGAACAGGGCAGCAGCTCCCCTGGAACTGGAGTTACACACAGTTGTGAGCTGCCATGTGGGTGCTGGGAACTGAACCTGAGTCCTCTAGAAGAGCAGGCAGGCAGTGCTCTTAACCACTGAGCTATTTCTCTAGCCCCAGAAGAATTCTTATGTGATGAAAATAAATGATCTAAAAGTAGTGACGGACTGTCTCAGTAACTGTTACATGAATGAATCATGTAGACCTCCAAGTTACACTGGACATTTACTTTTTGCTTTGAGTCCTGCCTGCTTTATTTTAACATTATCCCTGAAGAGCCGAGGTGGTGATAGCTGCATGGATGTTAGCTGGGTAGTCAGCATAGGCAAGCCTGTCCTGCATTACAGGCACATGGCTTAGTCTGTACACAAGGTACGCTACTGGCTGAGGGCAGTCCTGTTAGCCAGGTCCCCTGATCAGGCAGCCTCCTACCTTCACCTGCTTCCTTAGTATGCTCCGCAACAGCTTCCTTAAGTTTCTCAGTGTAGTTTACAATCCCCTTCAGGGGTACTCGCTCATCATTTTCATAAGCTGTGATGTGAATTGAGGGATAATGCTGGAAGAGAACGGATACATAGAGTTTACATCACCCCGTCATTCCTTCCACTCTATAGGTCATGAAAAGAATCACCGTTCATTTGTTGCCCCACAAGTGCTAGAAGGGTTTTCTCATCTGAAACTCTTGAGTAGGCCCCAGTCCTGTGTGCCAGGCTACCCATTACCTGGCACAGCCATTTCCTGTCCAGAGAGATCATGGGCTTCATCTTATGTTAGACTGGGCCAGGGGATGAGAACGCTATTCTCCTGAGGTGTTAACCTGAGGCAAACATGGCATATGAGCAGACACGACAATGAAGGATGTCTCAGCATCAGAAGCAGAAAGAACTCCGAGAGCCCTCTTAACTCTCCCCTCAGCTCAGTGAGTGCCTTCCAATTGTCTCCTCTATCGCTTCAGGACAGTAGATTGCAACTGTGTCTTCCTACCTGAGGTTTGATGTTTTGACAGGGGCAGTAGCGTTTTATGTAGTTCTTGTGTTTTTCATCAGATGAGGGATTCCCCCATTCTTCTAACTCTTCTAGTGTCAGGGGAAGTGTGGTGTCCATCATGGTGTTGAGGACATCCAAGAAAGGTGCCTAGTTGAAGAAAAAAGAAGCCAAACCTGTGTATCCACTCAAAGGTTGCTGAAATGAACTTCATAATAAATAGTCTACTGCAAAGACACATACCCAGGTGTGAAGAACACAGCTCAGCCTGAACTATGGCTGGTGACTCCCAGCTGCCTGCAGAGCATTCAAACTCCGTAACAGGCATTTACAGAACAAGAAAGAAATGACCTTCCAATTTCACAAGCTTGTTTTTAACTTGGTGCCTTTTCTAGTTTTACTTATACAAAAGTAACAAATACAGTTTTGCATTCATCAAGGTGGCTACTATATTAAAATAACCCCACAATAACCAGAACATTTCAAGTTGGTGATGATGCAGAGAAACTGTCCCACTGGGCTAGAGTGAAAATGGCTGTGGTCACTGTGACAAAAAGCAGGGTAGTTCCTCCAGGAAATGACCATGGCATTTACCTTTTGACCTGGCCACTCCTCAGACACACACCCAAAAGAGCTGGAGACAGGGCCTTTAAGTGGAACTAGGACAGTGTGTAAGCAAACCATGGTGTGAGCATGCAGAGTAGTGTACGGGAAGCTCTTGCGATGCAATGCCAGGGCAGCTGCGTGGGATAAGCATTGTCAAAGCGTAAATCTGGCATGACACCGCTTACATGAGCTGACAGTGCAGTCAAGGCAGAAGGGTGGTTTCCAGGGGCTCAGCGGGAATGGAGAGCTGTTCAATGGTGTGGGTTTCAATTTTTAAAGATACAAATTGAGATCTGGAGACTGACTGCATAATACAGTAAATGTCTTAACATTACTGAACCCTACACTAAGAATAGTTATGATACTAGCTTGTGTTACTTTATGACAATGACTAGAATGTTTTAGAAGTGAGAAAATCATCAACAGCATACAAACTCTTCTCTATCTGTTGGGATTTTACAGTAAAGCTCCCAAATAGCACATAGATAAGATCTGGAAAATACCCAAGATAAAAGAAGACAAAAAACATCTACCGGCCTTCATTATTATTGGAATATTTGTAAGGGGTAGAGTGATGGCTCAGCAGTTAAGAGCACTGGTTGTTCTTTTAGAGAACCTGGGTTCAATTTCTAGCACCCACATGGTGGCTTACAACTGTCTATAACTCAGTTTCTGGGGGCCCAACACCCTTTTTGGCCTCTGAGGGTTTTAGGAATGCACGTGATGCACAGACATACATGTTCGGGCAAAATACCCGTACATGTATGATAAAAATAAATAAGAAACATTTCTGTTTTGGGGAGCATGTGCTTTTTTCCAGCTCTCTCTTACAGTAGCACTGATCGAGTCTAGGGAGCTGTAAGCCCTTCTGGCTGCCCAGCAGGATGACTTTTCTGAACATGCAAAGCTGCCAGCCTTGTTAGGAGGGGCCCTGCTCTACTGAATAGATGTCAATCGTGGAGATTCTACCAGGCGATGTGTGCCGTCCATTCCGGTTTCAGAAGCAGCGATGGCAGTGTGAGGTACTCTGTGCTGGCCGGTGGTAGCTTCATGGGGCTAGTTCTGTTCCAGGCTGAGCAGCCTCTAGCACTGAGCCTCAACACATCTACTCTTACCTACTACTCAAGCAAACCCTTTCTGTTTCAGTTAACCATAATTTTGGGTGCTAATAATAATGACTTTGACTCATAAATGAAACACATTGTGTCGAATGTTTAGGCTATCCCTAATTCTTCTCTGTAGTAAGCAACTGAAACAAATATCCTTACATATGCATTTCTGGTTATTTCTAATTTCTAAAATTCAAGGTTAACTGCATTTTATATTGTAATTCTTTGGTTATTATCTTTATGGCTAGGTTTATTTCCTCTATAGTGAATATTTTTTTTTTTTAAAGATTTCCAGGTCAAATTATTCAATACTTATTTAACTTACTGCTTCTTGCTCCAAATACACACACACACATACACACATACACATACACACAGATACACAGACACACACATACAGGCTCACACACACACACACACACAGACTCACAGAGAGACAAGACACACACACACACAGACACTCTCTGAAAAAGTTAATCGGAAGTACCCCAGTCATTAGTTTCCAGGGTAGGGAATAGGAGAGTTCAGATCTGAAGCCTGATGTCCTAATACATAGAGTGTCACAACTAGAGAACAAGAGAGACTACTGTGCATTTTCAGAACTGATGGTTCAATCACAGTTTAGAACTACACCCAAAAGAGCACGGAGATAGGTGAATGTGAGCCAATTGTGCTGCACACACTTAAAATCCTGGTGTCTAGGAGGCGGAGGGAGGAGAACTCGAATGTATGAGGCAAGACTGACTAGCTACATAGCAAAATGTGAAAGAAACAAAATAATGGGCTATCTAAAAATAGTTTCTATATCCAGGAATAAAATGTCACATGAATGAGATGTCAGAGGAAACATTGCATCCAGACTTGTAGGACATGCTACACATATATAACTTGGGCTTTCGAGACGATCTGACCAAGAGAAAAGGCTTACTGGGGACAGCCATCAGTTCCTCTGTAGAGATTATTGTCAGGGCACAATAAACAGTGGGGTCAAGACGATTTCGCAAATTCTCCTAGAGCCACAGTTCTGTCTAAACTTAAGAGCGTTACTACACCTTAAAACGCATGGCTTTCCCCTTTGTGGACAGAGACACAGCTGCCCATGTTGCAAGCTGCGAGCACTTACCTCCAGCGTCACAGCTCGCAGGAGCTCTGGCTTGGAATTACACAGGGCTCCCGCAAGCACCCCTCCAGCACTGAAAGCACTCAGCGTGGTTAGGCCCGGATGGGAGAAGCCTTGGCTATGGAGCATCTTAATGCAAGCCTCTAGGTCAGCAAGGCCATTGAGTTTTTTAGTTAGACGGCCATCAGCATGCCACTGTAGGCCCAGCTCACCACCACCCCTGTAGCGGAAGGAAACAAACACGATACAGTAGAGGTCAGCAAGCTGTATCAGAAGTGCTGCTGTGCTTTTAAAGGCTGGGAGAAAACAGGGAGAAGGAATAAGCAAGGGAGACTGTCTGGCCTGCAGAGCCTAAACATACTGTGGAGTCTGTCAGGAAACAAAACAAAAAGCTGGCAACTGTCAAGATAATAAAAAACTGATTCGACAACTATGTTTGATGAGTGCCTACTGACTACTTACTACAGACTGTCTGAAGGCAGACCTTAAACACACACACAAGCACAGCTGCCTGTGGAGAAGCTCACAGTGGCCTGAGAAAGCAAACCGGTCACCAGGCTCGATGGCTGCTGCTGTGACACAGGTGTTTCAGTTTTACCTGGGCGGAGGAAAGTGGTTAGGGCGCACGAGTCAGAAGCGCAAATGTCGTTACACTGAATTGAGTTGCGAAGGAACAGGGTTTCTGGAAGGGTAAGGGGCGGGAAACTAAGACCCAGCGAAAACACAGCATGTGCAACAAGGAGGGGTAGAGCATGTCACCTGAAGGCCCCAGGCCAGTGGATACCCTGCAGAGAGAAGCTGGGTTGTGGGAATTTTACTGAGAAACCTGGCCTCTGTTCTGGAGACAGGGAGGTGGAGAAGATTTCAAGCAGAAATAAAATGATGCTGCTGTTCTGGAAAGAGCTAAAATAAAAGAGGAATTAGATGGCAAAAACGTTCAAAGAGGCTCTGTGAGGAAACCGCCCAATAGCTGCATGGACACACATAGCTGAATTACAGCACTTGGAGGGTCATGAGTTTGTGGCTACACAGACAGATCCTGCCTCAAAAACTCGAAAGAAACCTGTGGAAATAATAATGTAACTAATCAAGTATAAACACTGCCCTATCTACTCAAAGGTCCTAAAAACTATTCTTTTGTTCTTTGGACCATACTAATCTGCTATCTGAATCAAGATCTACCAGGCTTAGGGATACATAAATCCAAAATCCATATAAGGAGGTGAGCTTTTTTGCCGTAACATACTAGTTTTTATTCTGGTTTTCTGATAGGGTCTCACAATAAAGCCTTCAACAGAGGTCTGCCTCTCCCTGCATCCTGAGTGCTGGGATTAAAGACATATGGCACCATGCCTGGTCCTCTAATGTTGTGGCTGTAGTTGTCATCACAATGTTCTAGCAGTCATCTGCCAGGAGAAATGAGCTGACTCACCTGACATGGCAATATGCTAAGATCCATCCATCATCCACCAAGACTCGCCTCTCAGGCCGGAAATTCATTTTCAAATCCATCCCGTAAGCTCCATACACATGCACCAAGAGGGGCTTCTTCTGCAGATCCTCAGAGTCCATTTTGTGAAAAATTGTCATTGGCACTAGTTTTCCATCCTGGAAATGAAGAATCATTCGCATGTAAAGAGACACCTTGGCTGTTTGTTTCTTTGCGGTGCTTGCTTGGGACCAGGGTGTCTGGTAGACAAAGGCTCTTCTAAGGAGCAAGTGTTAACCCCAGTTTAAAGTGTAAGGAGGTGAACTCCCTGGTATGTGACTTTTGGAAACAGACATCAGCTTTGTGAGGTTGTGCTATCTGTGCACATAGCTCTGGATTTCAGCGACCCCCACTAGTCTATGATTAGCCAGAAAAGAGCAGCAGGTCTGGCTTGAACATTGGCACAGTTTCTCACAGTAGGAAATTAACTTCAAAAAGTACTCATCATTGCCTGCTGTTAATTTATTTCTTTCGGTCAAGCCAAAATGTCTTTCTAGGTTGGAAATTTTAGTATAACACACTATCTATGCCTCAGGCTGGATACTGACAATTCTTATCTTTGTATGTTTACAGATATGCTTTAATAAAAAGTCCTACTATCTTCAATTTTTGACAACAGAAAATGTCAAAATGCCCAACGTCAGTACATGTACTCTTGCTCACACCATACCGATGGCCATCTGCATTCTCCAAAGGCCTACATAACTACTAATCTAACTAAAATGATTTATTTTACATGTATGGGTATTTTGTCTGCATGTGTGCTTGCATCACGGGTGTGCAGTGCCCATGGAGCCTGGCATAAGGTATCATATTTCCTGGGGCTGGAGTCACGGATGACTGTGAGCCAACATGTGGCTTATGAAGAGAATATGGGTAGTCTAGCTGACACAAACCCTGTCTTTTCTAGCTTGTTTATGGTCACGGGGTTTTACCACAGCACGAGAAGCCCTAACTAAGACGGATGTGCTACCTGAAGCAGCACTTCTTCAGAGAAGACTGCTTAGATCTCACCAGACTAGGTAAGCTCTCTCCACCATGTTTGGAGTATTCAATATGCTTCCCGTTGTAGCTGTCAATGCATCAATAGCAATTTCTTCAGCCTTTGGCATTGTCCTCGCTACAGTGAAGCCTCATGATGGTGTGGATCTTTTCAGTCTAGTCTTTTTTAATCCGCTGCTTGCCATACTCTCAAAGTTATTACCATGGCTGTATACCAACTTTGACTGTTTACTCTTTTTATTAATTCAACTTTACAATTCAAACATAAGCAAGTGAGATGAAGGGCTTAGCATACCAGTTAGAGATTTTTAGGTCCACGTTAAAATAAAAACATGCATGTTAAAATTAAGAGGAGAAATCTATATATTCCTAAAATCATCTGGACCTTTTATAGTACAAGGGATTCTCAAACAATAGTGCTGATACTGTGTGATGCTAAGGTTTCTGGCACAGTACACTTGCAGTACCTGGGAGCTGAAGGCAGGGATTGCAATACCTACCTTGCTTTTGGCTTCTATGCGTAAAACTCGACTAGTCTTTGTAATCGGGTCTTCATGTCCAGTTTCCTCAAACAGTTTGCCTTCTGCAAATTTATATGTGTAATATTTTGGAGGTCTTATGGGAGAGCAAAGCTGAAAGGGGCAGTTCTTTGGGTCAGAATTTGTATCCATTATGAATCCACAGGCCCAGGGAGGGAGCTGAATAAGAAAAAGATATTTTCACTAATTACTTTTAAAGTTTCTGAGTCTGCTCCAAGCAAGCAACATGACACGGATACCGTTATCACACAACACATCATTTAAGTAATCTGTAACAAAACAGATTTCAAGTAAAAGTAGGAAATGAGTTTATCATGTTTCTAGATTTAAATGAAGTTGCTTTTATTTGGGAACACAAGCTTGGGTGATAAAATAACCACCTGGCTGAGAATAAGAGCAAATGAAACAGTGATCCTATGCCAGCAACAGCCCAGTCCTGCTCTTGCACGGGACCCTTGCGTGGATGTTTTGAATGATTTTCCCACCAGCCCTTCTCCTGCTGCCTAGATAGCCAGTGATGAGAGTCATTATCCCAGGGCTACAAACGGGGCTCAGCAGCACGAACACACTTACAATTTGTTTCTAACTTTAGCGTTGAGGCTAACCATTGTGCAGAACAAAACCTTTCCAGGCACAATGACTCCGAGAGACTCAGAGCCATTATGCTCAAGATTCTTAACTTCAAGAGAAAAGGGAAGGAATCAAAATTTATTCTCTTAGAGCAGCAGGGTCCAGCGTCAAGCCTTCCACTTACACCTTTTAAACAAGCTGGGTAAGCAGGCTGACAGAGTGCTCCAGAGGTACCGAGAGTAAGAATGTGGAAAGAAAAGTGCCTTTCTTTTTCTGAGTAATTGCAGAAAGAGCAAATTCCTTAGAAAATCAGAGGTCTTGGCAAGCAGCATCGCTGGGGGGCACTCCTGAACAGGGAGGAAGGGCTGCAAGCATCAACAATACAGACTTTACCAGCAGAAACACAGCCAGGCAGCACAGTGGTCAGGCACAGCTCCTCAGTGGACCCAGTGTCTGTTTCCCAGGGACACTGACAAGGACACACATTTGCAGCAGATTTGACTTCGAGCTTCGTAACTATGAAGGTGCAAGATTCCTTAGCCCACAGGAGCAGAAGGTTTTCCCCACCTTTCAGTAAGGTAAGTAAACTTAACTATGACCATGGAATTCATTGTTTTAGCTTTAGGGCAACTGATACCAATAGGACAACCAACAAATCGAAGTCTGGGTTTTTCCAAAACTAAGGGACCAAGGTTTAAGCTTTAATCATACCAAGAACTGTTCCAAGGCTATGGACTCAAACACATTTGTCCAGCTGATGCAGAAGTATTAACTGTCTCAAGGGCATCTTAAGCCATGTTTCCTACTGAGCTGTAATGTACTGAAAGAAATCTGGCCTGGAAATAGACTCTCCTGCAAATAAAGCTGATGGCAGCATACAGTAAAACATTTCTTGGGCTTGGGGGTGATGTCAGGCTTAGTGGCTGAGTTTGTCCAGTATGTTCAAGGACCTGGCTTTGCCCCTAGTATTACAATATATAACATCCTCAATTTACTTTTCAGGTGTTACAATACAATATTTTTCTTTTTGAAAAAAATCAGAAAATATTGATGACAGAATGACCAATGGTAAGAAATAAATACATGAAAAGTTTAACATTTCCGTCACTGGAGATTGTGTTTAGAAAGATCTTTTGGGCAAGTGTTCATTAGGCATAGATGTTACACATGGAAATGTGTTATTAACTACTCACACTGGGGCTAAAGACTTTGCCTGTCATGTAAAGCATGATCTATAGGTATTTACCAGTGTTATGCAGCATCACGCAAGCAATTATAAAATTACTTTTAAGTAGCACATGGTATGTACTGAAGCATTTGATTCTCTATGATGACATCCTAGAACAACATTCGGGGTGTAACAGGTACCTACAGTTTGGGACAGGATAGAGAGCAATGAGATCGATGACACAGCAGAAAGAGAAGACAGCGTTTGTTGTGAAATAGCAAGTGTGTGTGTGTGTGTGTGTGTGTGTGTGTGTGTGTGTGTGTGTGTGTGATAGCTTTAAATACGAATGCTTATTAAAAATAAGAAAGGGTCATATTTACTTGGAAGTCTAGTCTTAGGGGCTGGGATACTGCTCAACTGGTAGAGTGCTTCCTTAGCCTGGGGTTCAAACCTGGGCAGCACATAAAACCACAAGTGTGGTGGTACATGCCTGTAATCCCAGCGCATGGGAGGTGGAGGCAGGAGGATTAGAAGTTCAAGGCCAGCCTGGGCTATACAAGCCCCATAAGTTTAATTTATAGCAGAAAATCTCTACATGGCATTCCCAGTTTTCTTGATCTCTCTCTCTCTCTCTCTCTCTCTCTCTATATATATATATATATATATATATATATATATATGTATATATATATATATATGTGTGTGTGTGTGTGTATGAAATAATATATTTTTAATTAACACATTGCTAGAAATCACATATTTTCCCGATCTCTACTTATAGAGACAGCAATGAGTGAGGACATATTGGCAGCTTTCCAGTCATGGCAGATGAAGACAAGAAGAAAAGAAGTCCTGAAGCGATGGCCATTTTTATTTCAGGACACCTACACAGATACCTAAGAGACTCAGTGTTAAAGTTAGCACTTTGATTGTAGGGAGTCACTGAGGATTTCATTGTTACAGGCTCCCATTATTTATTTGTATCAGTAAACAATCTTGAAATTCATCTCCCTGGTTCCTATCTGTCTGTTCCAGCCTTTATTGCTGTGGCTGCCCAATAACCTCATTCAGTACAGCCCTGACACCTCAGGCTGAAAACCAACTGTTCCCTTCATTATAATTTATAGTTTACTCATATCATGACAAAGTATCTTGTCATAGCTTCATCCTCCAGCAATGTATTCCGCTTTAGCAAGATAGATTTAAGAGTTAGTTCCCCGAGGATATATGGACTTCAGCTTAGAGCTGTGTTTGAATGGCCCTCTCTCATCCTCAGCTATGACATATTAAATTCCTATTTAATATTGCATATTAAATTCCTATCTACCCACTGTAGTCTGTCTCTATATTCTACAAAAGTTTTTCTGAGCCACAAATTCTTCCCTTCCTTTAAGTTCTCCATTTTGTTTTTGAAATCACTAACTTACACTTAACGCTTTGCTGTTGTTGTTTTTCAAGACAGGGTTTCTCAGTAGCTATGGAGCCAGTCCTGGAACTTACTCTGTAGAACAGGCTGGCCTCAAACTCACAGATCCACCTGCCTCTGCCTCCCAAGTGCTGGGATTAAAGGTGTGTGCCACCACAGCCTGGCTTATGTAACTCTTTTTATTTGTCTAAGGTCATAAAAAACTTAATTCATTAGGGCCAGATATTTTATTCTACTGTCTTACTATTCCATGATGCTGTATGACATTTTGTACACAGGAGTTCAATAAATAGGCATGGAATTGGCAGGCTCGTATTTTAATAGGAATTCGGACAATACTGGAATGTTATTTAAAAAAGCTAAAGCTGCTTGCTGGTCAATCCACTCAATAATTCTTTCCCTATCAGGCAGAATGAAGCTACCTTCTCTTCAGGACTCACAACCTTAATTCATTTAATGCTGCTTGGAAGGTGGACGGTAAGCTTGCCACTCATATATCAGGTTCATTTTTAAAGGCATTTGATCTTGTCTTGGTGCCAATGACAGTATTAACCAGTTTGACATGCCATTATCATCGCTCTGTGTCAGGGAGACCACTGGCATCCACGTATTGAAAGGCAGCTGGATAAGAAAACTGGCAAAGGGATGGAGAGATGGTTCAGTCATTAAAAGGATAGGCTCACAACCAAACTATAAGAAAACTGGCAAAGAGAGGAAACACAAACATGAGGTGGAAATACAGAAATGTGACTAATGTCCTTCTGGAATGTGGCCTGGGCAAGAAGCAGTCATTAGGTCTCATTTATTGCTACTGCGAAGATATAATGATACCTGACTACAGAGCTATGTGGAAAGAAAAGCATGAGGAACCCTAACTCTGAAGTCCATTGGTTTAAGTAAGATTGGAGTAAAAACAATGTCTCTCAAGACATTCTAATATAAATCTAGACCTGATAAAAAGCCTGTGGGCTAAAATCCATTGAAATTAAATTTCTTTTAAGAAAAGTACATCGCATTCACATTTTGAAGGTCTATTAAGCTGAGCTATGTTTCTGAGGTGAGTAGACACACCTTCAGAGAGCGAACGGAGTCGTCAGCCAGACCAATCACGTTGACGTAGAGGAGGTTGCTGTGCTTCAGGAACAGAACACAGTGGTCCTTAAACATGTCCAAGTCTATAACCTTGGTGTTTCTCTTCATTGTGAAGAATAAATCCCAGTTCATAATCGCAGGGGCATCGGCTGCTGTTCGCATCAGCTGTAGGAACAGGGTTGGAAGAGATCTAAGTGACTAAATACGAAGGCTGCAGCGTTCAGGGACGCAGTCACACTAGCTGCCACTGTTAAATCTGTATCAGGGACAAAGTATGAATGTCACCATTTTAGCCCAGGTTGGTGTGCTAGTCAGACAGTGTGGTGCCATGCTTAGTCAACAGTCAATCAGTGGACAATGGATGCATTGGTATGCCTGCCTGAGCCTGAGACCAGTCCAACTGCCAACTCACAACCAGGAGTTAAACTGTGCTCCTTTAAGACAACCACATTTAATTCTTACGACACAAACAGTACAGATGCTTCATTTACTGACGTTTTAAATACAAGTATGGTAGACAGAAATGTCATCTCTACAGGAAGAGAAATAGGATTGATAATGTACAGGAAGGCAGTGTCAATCATACTCTAAAGCCCCTCCCCCATTCTCTCTTGTAGCAAGGAAGGTTTGTGAGGGGAAGCAGACACTTTTACCAGCCCATCCCAAATGGGAACAAGCAGAATTGAGAGCTACCTTGAATTCTGTAGGTTCTCCAACATTAGTGAGGATGTATAATTCATCATCTCGATGTTCAACATAGTAAAGTACCCCATGTATTCTTTTCTGAATCAGTAATGGTGGGTCCCAAGGGCTCAGGCCATCTATCAACCACACCTCGGAAGTTGTCTTGTTCATAATATTTAGGGTGAGGAAACGACTGTCTTTTGTAAGATAAAGGAAAACAAAATAGCTAGAAAGGGGGGGAAAAAGCACATGATTTCATTAAGTTATTACTGTACTGGATGCACACATGGGGTCTGAACTATTATTAGATAAGTGAGAGATGAGCCTGAGATGACTTGACTATTAAACCTCCATATTTATATCTAAATAAAGGGTATGTTTGGAAGTAGGAATGAGAGCTGGAAGACACTTAGAATCAATGGTGTCATTTGGAATGGATGTCACTGTCCAATCCTTAAGCACCTCAGGTGAAATGTTATAATATACTAAAAAACTGAACAAGAAATTTTTTTGGAGGGCTAGATGGATGACTCAGCAGTTAAAGAGCATTGGCTACTCTTCCAGAGGACCTGGGTTCAATTCCCAGAACCTACATGGTGGCTCACAGCCATTTCTAACTCCAGTTCTAGGTGATCCAGTGTCCTTTCTTGGCCTCTGTTGGTACTGGGCATGTATGTGCTACACAGACACACATGCAGGCAAAATTACCCATACAATAAAATAATATTTAACAAATAAAGAAATGGTTTATATAAGGTCAATCTTACAAGTGTCTGTGAAACAATACTAGAGCTCCTGGAAGGCAGAGGTGGAGTTACTCATGGCTAAGTCCTTGCAAGTGGAATAGGGTTAATCCTAGCTAATTATTTTTCTTTCTTCTTTTTTGATTTCTTTGGGTTTTTTGAGACAGGATTTCACTATTTTCTCTGGCTGTCCTGGAACTTAGTATGTAGACCAGGCTGGCCTTGAACTCACAGAGTTCTGTTTGCCTCTGCCTCCCAAGGGCTGGGATTAAAGACATGCACTACCTCCACCTGGCTCTAATTCTTTTACTGGAAGAGTTAAGTTATAACATTAAAGAGAAGCATTGGGTGAGGAGCTAAAGAGCTGCCTATTTTGCTGTTTAATTCCCACAAATCTTTAGCTGTCTGGGTAAGACTTATTAACTTGTAAAACATTACAGATATACATGTGGAAATTCCTAAGATGTCAAGTGATTGGTGTGAGCAACATACCAGCATGATATACATAATATAATCATGGTTACTGAGCCCATTTCACTGGGTCTTTTGGTTTGGATTGTCCTTGCTTTGAAAAATTCAGTCCTGTTCTTGGTGAATAGTATTTCTGGCAGGAAAAAAAAATGTGTGTAATGGTGTGTATGTATATGGGGTGCTGGGGAGGGATGGATGTTGACTATTTAGTGACTTAAAAATCAGATTTTGTTTTTATTTAGCATCGATCTTTCTCTTCAGAACCCACCCAGTGCAGTTTTCATTAGAATATATGGATTTTATGCTCTAGAAATAGAAATATTTGAAGGCAAAAAGCCAATATTTAAAAAGCACCGACCTTTAAGAATATATTAGTGGGTACTTCCCAGATCATGGATTTAAGAGACATTCTACCATCAGAATGAAAAATCATTTTCAAATAACCAACAACTGAAGTACTGAAAACAAAAATGATGGAAACTGTGGCTGATGGCAGCTCTTTATGGCCATATTTACAACTTTTTCATAATCAGGTATCCCAGACAGATAGAATTCGGCAAACTCTATAGATTAGTTCTAGAAGGTAGAGTAATAAAATAATAATTTTCTTCAGTTCTCAACACTTCAAGACAACAAGCTCGGTCTGTAAGATAACGGGGAACTGTCTTGGAGAAGAGTGTAACTACAGTGTTCTAACCTTGGGTCTTTCTCTGTGTAGAAACGCTCATTGCGTCTGTTTTCACCAAATGTGGCCCGATACACATCATGGCAGCGAAGGTTCCTCTGGAAGGTATAGAATAAGACGTCTTCATCTTCTTCATCCTTCACCCATTCTGAAAGGAAGGAAGGAAAGGGACTAAACACAGCTACCTGCATATTGTTTTTAAAAAGGTGTATACTGAAAGGTTAAATGCCAAGTGAAGAAATGTGTAAGTTTATCTCTGGAACTATATATAGCATAAACCTGACTGATCAAACCTGTGTTTATATATAAGCCAGAAACACCACTACACTGTTCCAAGTTTCCCATTTCTTAGTCTCAGTCTACTTAAGAACGTAAATAAGAACTCGTGTTCAGTGTTAAAGATATTGGTAAAGTCACATTTGCTTTTTGGGAGATGGCTGCATAATTGAAGAACACTTTCTCACTGTGTTCACTGTCTGCTTCCAGGAACAGGACAGCTCAAGCCACCAAATGTATTTTTAACAGGGTCCCTCCTTTCCCCAGAACCTGTCGATGGAGATTTGCACATAATTACATCATGACTGCCACCTGGCTGACAGTCACTGTAAGTCATTACTGTATGATATGAGCTTTGATCTTAGAGCTTTGATGCACAAATGTGTTTCTTAGATTTCACTGTGCAGGGACTGGGGAGAAACATGGCTACCTGAGTCTGACCCTCTAGCATTCACAGAAAGCTCTGCATGCTTATAACCCCATATAAAAAGCTGTACATGACTGTGCATGCCGGTAACCCCAGGAATTGGGGGGGGGCAGACACTAAGAGATGAACCACGAGGGCTTCCTGGCTAGCCAGTAAGCTTAGCCAAAATGGAGAGCTTCTGGCTCAGTGAGAAGATCCAGTCTCAAAGCACTAAGGCAGGGGAAGATGGAGGAAGATGCCAATGTCTTTTTCTGGCTGTCACATGTGCAAGCATGGGCACCTATGTCTGCACTCACATGCATGCAACACAGACACAGACAAACAGATACACAGACACAGAGAGAGGGAAAGGGGGGAGGGACAGAGCGAGAGAAAAACAGAGACAGGATCTTGCATATACAAAAGAGTGCATTAGGTAGAATATCATTTCAATTTGTTGTAAAAGCATCTAATTAAACAATTCAGAAAGTAATGACAATATAAAGGAGAGACAAAGTGTGAACATGTTCAGGATGATAAATGATAAAATTTAAAGCTAGATCTACTACTAAAAATGTTGGTTTCTGTTGATGATGTCAGTTCAACATGCTCCAGTTTCTAGAGGTGACTCTGAGAAATGTGCTGTAATAGATCTCCATGATAATGTAATAAAAATAAACCAAGTTTAAAGTTGAATAAAACACCAAAAAGCAGCATTGGTAACACTTTAGTCTTCATAATAAACTGGCCAAGAATGACTATATAACAGAATATTCACGTGGGACTTATATTAGCAGTGTCTTGGAAATATGAACCACTACTTCATTTTTACTTAAAGTGTGTTTTATTTCCTTGATTTATCGGTGAGTGTATGAAGTGTGTGTGAAAACAAGTGTGTTTGTGTGTGTGTATGTGGGGGGGGCATAGTGCATGTATGAAGATCAGAGGACAACATTCAGGCACTGGCTGTCTCCTTTCACAATAATTTCTAGTGTTGAACTCCGGCCAGGCTGTGTGGCAAATGCTTTTATCCATAAAGCCCCATGTCAGTTCATGAATTATTTATTTTTAAACTTTTGTTTATGCATAAGTATGTGTGTCTCCCTCCATGTGGGTATCTGTTGGATCTCCCAAGAGTTAGAGTTACAGGTGGTTGTGGGTTGTCCAGCCTGGGCACTGAAAACTGACTATGGATCCTCTACAAAAGTGATATACGTGCTCTTAGCCACTGAGCCATCTTTCCAGTCCCCCACAAGCACAATTTTAAAGTGAACCATTCAGATAATTAAAGGAGGGAGTATTTCATAATATGAAGTCTATAGGAAGACATGCAGTCCAGAGAGAAATGGACCTGATCATCACCACCTCCTTCCCTGCTGCAGACTAACAACTTTCAGAAGTGCAAGCAGCTCGCTATGGCTGTCGTTTCCAGGGGCTTGGCTTGGCGGCTTACCAAAACTGGACACGTTTGGGAAAGAAGTTTCCATCACAGGCTGATCACTGAGCTTCACAACTATGAGGGTGGATGTTTCCGAATCTTCAGTCCTTATCTTGGCAGCCACGTATTTCTCATCTGGAGCAACTCTGATAGAATCAATGAAGGGCTGGTCCAACTTCAGTTCCTCCAGGTTGAACAGAACTTCATAATTATCGCTGTCAGCTGCATAAAGGAAGGTGAGGAAAAGAGAACTCTTGCAAATAATTTTAAGCTGTATCTTAATGTTTTAAGTCAACATTCTGAGGTCATATACTGATGTCCTTCTACAATCGTTATCTAAAAATATGTTGTTCAATAGTATCCTATGTATTAGCCTATGAGCTATTTTGATAGTCTAGTACAATGGTTATCAACCTTCCTCATGCTGCAACCCTTTAATATAGTTCCTTGTGTTGTGGTGACCCCCAACCATAAAGTAATTTCAGTGCTAGTTCATAACTGTAATTTTGCTACTGTTATGAATTGTAAATATTTTTGGAGACAAAGTTTGCCAAAGGGGTCGCGACCCACAGGTTGAGAACTGTTGGTCTAGTATTTACAGACTACAGAATTTTCAAAAAGAATGCAAATGATACACATCACGTGTGCAATGTGCCCAGCACAGCTCTACGACATAGAACATACACGAAACATGCTGGATTTCATGCCCACTCTCCCTGTTGAAGCTCCTAAGTGTGGTTCTTAATGCTATCTTAAGTCAACCCAGATACCCAGGACCAATCATTTAAAAAATTTAGAAATAATCTTTAAGAAATCCATTCTAATGGCTTTGAACAACTGATATGAAGCTTCCTGTTAAAGACGTGCAACCTCTAAAGCTAGTTGTCATTAAAGAAGAACTATGATTTACCAAAATTACCTTCTTCGTCTTTGGAACGGACCAAGCAGCAACCCTCTTGATAATAAACGAAACCACCATGCTTAATCTGACAATGAGAAGAAACGTGACTTACTCACAATAACTTAATTACTTAATGGTCTGACTACTTCAAATGAAGGGATAAGACCTATCATATCACAAGAGGCAGATCTATTGAACTACATGAATAAAATATGAAACAGACCATGTTTACAACACAGGTAGCAAAACATTGCTTTCCTACAGTCAGAATCATTGGCGATTTCTAATACACAAATGCAAAGGCATAACAAAATCTATGCTCATTCACCTGATGTTTGTATAGTGAGATGCAATTAACAATGTCAAATGGCATCTTTAAGATAATATAAAGTGATGCCAGATGAGAAAAATGTGACTAGCTTGAAATGCCAATCAGCATTCTGGTGTCCATTCTTTCAATGTCACTGTTATCAACTGTATAGTACTGACTTGATTTTATACAAAGTATACTGTGGTGGAACAAAGTGAGGTCAAGAGAATAAATATTACACATACATGAGTGAAAAGGGTTCTTGTCTAACATATCTTGAGTGCAAGTGATCAACTTACTTGGTTTCAGGGGGCTTAAGAGACATTGTCTCTTGTGGCATATTTGGAATCTGGAATTGTTATTGCTCTTTGTATTTTCCTCTGTCCTTTGTTTTCAGTCATACTAAAATGATTTCCAATCTCTTTGTTCCATTTATTTCAACTGAGTACTTATGACTGATAATTGTAAAGTGATTAACTATATACTTACACTAAGGAAAATAAATAAAAAGAAAATCTCACCCCCCCCCCCAAATGCAGACACAACATGTAAATACTTTTGAAATAATAATGAAATGAGTAGTTCTATATGGACCTCTCCTTGGAATTTCTATAAATTTATACTGTGTTCTCCAACATCTACCTTGTCTATTGTTTACAGTTGAAAATGCTCAGCAGGTTCGAAAGGATAAGCATAACAAGACTGAGATGTGGTATTAAGACCATGAGTTATATATACGGTAGTGCCTTTGCCTCTGACATTGGATACGGTTTTCGTGGAAGATGCAGCAAAGCTTACCTCGGCATTGATGATTTCGTATTCTTCTTGTGGCTGGGTTTCTAGTCTTGTTCTCACTTTTTCAAATGCATCCATGTTTTCAGAAAGGGATTTTTCGTTTTCTGGCTTAATAGGCAGAAGGTCCTAGGAACATTTTTGGTGGTATGATCAAAATTTTTCAAACTCAAAGTCTCTGCTTCTTATAATTGTACTTTTCACACAGGTATTATGTCAGGTACTTATGAAATGTGTTTTTACAAATTTTGTTCTTTTTCAAGCTCATCAAAAGAAAGCAGACACTTGATGCATTATACTAAGTGTATGAGTAGCACTAAGAAGCCTTGGCAATGTCAGAAACACTACATACAGGTAAGGAGGAAAGAAAATGCTTTGAACTTTGCACATTTAATTGAAATGAGAAGTGTGTGTGTGGGGAACCTGTTGAGTTTCATAAGCACTGAAATACAGCCTAAAAGGAGGGACATATCAGAGAGGAAGACATTTCTTAGCTAACAGATGTTGGCTATTCATTTATTCATAGAACAGTTATAAAATTTATTCTACCTTATTACTGCATATTCTTATGCTGTTGAGATAAGTAACTCTACAAATATAGAAGATCAGAAAGTTAAATAACAGCTTATAAGACAAGGCCCTCCTTTGTTTGTTTTTTTTTTATATTTACTTATTTATTGGTTGTTGTTATTTTTCCAAGACAGGGTTTCTTCGTGTAGCCCTGGCTGTCCTAGAACTTGCTCTGTAGACCAGGCTGGCCTTGAACTCAGAGATCCACCTGCCTCTGCTTCTAGGTGCTGGGATTAAAGGCCTGTATTATCACCACCTCACTCCTCCCTTCCTGTTTAAGAGACAGTTTATTATAAAAAAAAGGAAGGAAAAGAAATGGAATGTGATGATGTTTAGTAGAGATGGAGAAGACTACATAATCATCCACTGTGCCTTTTTCAGGGCAGTAAGCTAGGCATTTGGGTGCCTCCTGGTGAGCAGGTAAGAACTAGACAGATCATCAACACAGGAGAAGGCTGAACCTAAAACTGCCAAAGTAGAAGAACCATCAATAATTCACACTCCATTGCTCTGCCTTGTTTAAACAAAAGAATTTTAGTCAGATGCCTAATTCTTCAGCTCTCTGCCAGAGATGACAACTGCACACAGATGGTGCCAGAGGGGCACTGAGGCGTGGCTGAGGACCCAGCAGCCGATGAACAGTTACTGCCTAAGGACGTTCATGTACTTCAAATAATGGTGAGAATGCAAGCTACAAATGTAGTTTATATTGTAAGATGTTTATAACCTAAAAGGTTGTAAACTTACCAAAACAGGCTAAATGGACAATAATAATTTTCACAAACTTATTCTTTTTTTTTTTTTTTTTTTTTTTTTCTTTCAAGACAGGTTTTCCCTGTGTAGCTTTGGAGCCTGTCCTGGAACTAGCTCTTGTAGACCAGGCTGGTCTCGAACTCACAGAGATCCACCTGCCTTTGCCTCCCAAGTGCTGGGATTAAAGGCATGGGCCACCAATGCCCGGCTCACAAAAGTTATTCTTTAAGAATTAAACATCTTTAAGATGTTTAATGGTTTGGATCAGATTCGAATTAGTCATCATAGTTGTTATGGTAATCTCAACTTTCAGCATCAATTTTCTTGTAAAAATTATTGTATATTCATTTATTTAATGTTGGAGGCACATGGAGGTTAGAGAACAGCTTGTGGGAGTCAGTACTCCTTTAGTACATGGGACGGAGCTCGTGGGCACCCTTGACAGCAAGCACCTCTACCCACTGAGCCATCTTCTCAGCCCCTCAACTTCTACTTTCAATCATACAGTTGGTTTCTGAGTAACAATTTGCAGTCAAAATAATGAAGGTTTGTCACACTTATTTTCATTCACTTTTTTTGCATTTTTATAATATCTATGGCTGACATTTACAGAAAGGCAAAAATATATCAATAATCCTCTATTGCCTAGAAAATCAAATTATAAACCGGAATATCACTAGAGATCTGTCTTGAAACCCTACCTCAGCATATGAGAAGCCTTGAACCTGAGCTTTACTAATTCCAGAGACTACTGACTGTTTGTTGAAAAGTGTTTCCTTTTTTAGAGAGTCTCAGGAGTCTCAGGCCGGGCTTACACTTGTTGTGGAGTGGAAGTTGACCTTAGACATCTGATCTCAGCCTCTACAGTGCTGGGGTTACAGGGGAGTGCAGTCACTCCCAGTCTGTGGTCTGGGAGGCTGAGCCAGGTCCCTGTGGAACGCTTGCAGGTACTATCAAATGAGCCCCGTCTTGTCTTCATTCCCAGCCCCACTGAAATCTTAGTCTCACGAACGCCATCACTTCATCAGAAGCAAAAAGCACCGCTAACCACTTCCCAAAGGGCCCAACGTAAAACCCACTTACACAATGAAATGTATTAACTATCAACTAGCCAACTTTATTATGGCAAACATGTTAAGCTCTGAAGACAAGAAAAACACTGAACTGAAGATAAGATTTTAAATAGATGGCCTATCCCAGACCTTGGGTAGGGAGAGCACAAGGTAGGCCTGGCGAATCTTGTACTACAAAGGAAGTGCTATCAGGGCAACAAAGGCAATGTCAACTGGACACAAAGGACAGCGTGAAGGGGATAATATGAGGATCAAAAAGAATAACAACTGATTAATTAAAATACACTGAAAAAGTAGCTTCTACAAACAAGCAAATGTAAAACAACCCTTGGATCAAATATAAATTTAAATTAAAAGAGAAAAAAAAAAACCTTAAACTTTTCCTCTCTCCCTCCCTCCCTCCCTCCCTCCGCCCCTCCCTCTCTTCTTTTCTTCCTTCTTTCTTTGAGTCTGTGCAGCCCTGGCTGTCCTGGAACTCACTCTGTAGACCAGGCAGGCCTCAAACTCACAGAGATCCAGCTGCCTCTGCCTCCCAAATGTTGGGATTAAAGGTGTGTGCCACCACTGCCCGTTTGAGACACTTTCCTTTACAGAATAAAACTACCTAATAAAAGCGGGAAGTGTGATAGGCTGATCATTTGAAGAGCTCCGGTGAAACAAATAGGGCTGAAATAATCAACCAAGTTAAACTCAATGGGCAAGGATAATGTACAACGTCCACACTGCCAGAGTTAATGCTTCCGGCAACAATAGTGTCCGTTTGGCAATGGGGACAACTGACAGTCAATGTTTTGACTACAACAATCTTTAATAGTGGGACAAACTGACACTCTATCTCAATTAGAGAAAACTGAAAAGTAAAACCCAAGAAGAGAAAAACAAGAGGATTAAAAAAAAAAAAAAAATCATTCCCCATCCCCAGAAAAGTACTAAAAAAGACAAGCATATAGTAAAACCTACCAAGGGAAAGACAAAGAATATCAGATATGAAAAACATGGTAGAATTAATTATAATAGAGATCAAAACATTCTAAATACAGTTTTCGAATTACTTGAGGATTTTATACATGCATATAAATGCATATAACTGTTATTTTGATCGTATTTGTCCATCAGACCCATCTCCACATCTCCATTCCCTCCCAAGTTCATGTGCAGGCCCCTATCTTATAGCCCACAGACTGCACCTCTCCACTGCCCATGTACTCCTTAGTATGGGGGGCCATCCACTGGAGCATGTTCCGCCTACCATGGGCTACACCCTTACAGAAAATGGGCTCTCCCTCCCCACCAAGCCATTAGCTCTCAATAGACCCTCAGTTGGGGGGCAGGCCTTGTGAGTCCCGGGGCTCCGCATGCTGGAACACTGACTGGCTCGATTCTGTACAGGCGCTATAGCCACTAGGAGTTCATTAGTGTAATGCTCCCAAAACTGACTCAGGGCAGAAAAGAGCTACACAGGGAAATAACTATACAAAGGTAATACGTATTTTAAAAAATTTAAAAAAAAAGAGACCAAGTCCAGTCCAGAATGCTGGCAAAGGCACTTTCCTTGAACTTGATATGGTGGCACATGCCTATAATCTGGGCACTCAGAAGGGTGAGGCGGGAGAATTTTGAGTTTGAGATAGATCTGGGCTATCTAGAGAAATCCTGTCTCAGCTATCCCCACTTCCTTATCCCCTCCCTCATGGGCAAAGGGGAAAAAAAAAGATCTCATAATCAACCACTTAAGAAAACAGCAAAAAAAAAAAAAAAAAAAAAAAAAAAAAAGGCTTACTCAATTTACTTTACTAGGCTAATATAACCTTGATACTAAAACTCTGTGACAACATAAATTGCAGTCTCTTCCGACTATCTAAAACCCTCTGCACACGATGTCCCTGTGGTTCCTCTTTTCATCCTGAAGCCTATGCTCACACACCATCCTGTCTTATTTAAATTAGAATATACTTCCTTCCATTCTCTGACCCCATTCTTACAACTCTCTATTCTTTTTGTTTCAGAAACAAATTTCATTTAGGCTAGGCTGGCCCTGAATGTCCCTTTGTGTTATGCAGCTGAGGATGGCCATTGTTGGATCAGCCTGACTCCATCTTAAGGAAGCATTTTGTTAAAAGGCTACAGGTTCATTTCAGTGATGCAAAATTCAAGTCAACTGTACTTTAACCTGTTTTGTTTCTGGAGTTTGGCATGCTCCCCACGCTACGGGGTCTGACCCACACCTTGAGTATATCCTGATAGAGAAGATATTCTACCAAATAATTTAAAAATGGTCAGCCAAGTTCCCGTGTGACCAAAATTCCTCTGGGAATCCCCCAACCCTTGAAACCCCTCTAGCCTCACAGTTTTCTTGGACAATATAAACCCTACACTTTCCTGCATTTTGTCTGACAGAAATTAGAGCTTGCTTAAATTGACCGGGGAGTCTGGGTAATGATCCCCACTCTCCTTCAGTGGGACTGACACCGAGACACCCCCTCCTACTGTCTTCACCTCTTGAGTGGTGACACTACTGTGTTTGGCACTGTGCTCAGTTGGGCTGGTTGCACCCAGGTCTTTGTGCATGCTAGGCAAACACTCTACCGACAGGGCTAGCCTAGACCTCACTAGATCATTCTTATCTTTATTTTATAATGTCATTTCTATTGAAAACAAAAATTCAAACTCCATGAAGGCAGAGCTCTTTGTTCTAGTTCACGGATCAGATTGGTTAGAATAGCACAAAAACCTAAGCAGGGAGAAGACAAGCCTTTTTTGGAGAGGAGAGCATGAGCTTTAGGGAAATACTAGTGAGACATTATGAGGGTATTATAAGGCAGAAGGAAAGGAACATTACCCACCCTGACACAGGGGAAAAGAAAGTCAACCTTGGGCTTGGTGTTAGAGCTTTTACTTGGCATCGAATAAACCCCCGAAGCAGCAATGACACAAAAACCAACCGTAAATAAAATGGGATCAACCTCTTACTCTTAAAATGCACAAAAGAAAAAAAATATACTCATTGTAACCGTTCCAAACAGCTATGTAGCCAAGTAGGGTTCTCCATAACAATGACTGGACGATCTATTACTGGAAAAGTCTACCAGTGTCACCTAACACTAAAGAGATAAACCCTATTTTAGTCTTTATTGATTTTTATATTTATTTATTGTATGTGCGTATGTGTGGAAGTCAGGGAACAACTTACAAATGTCAGTTCTCTCCTTCCACCCCCTGAGTTAGTGGGATTGAGCCCAGGCCTTGACTTGGGCTTGGCAGGGGGTGTCCTTAACTGCCGAGCTACCTCACTCACCCCAGAAGATAAATCTTGAGGCCCTCTGAATAAACAGAAAATAATTTATAAATGTGAAAACTGAGCTGAAACCTTAAAATTTGGAAACACAGAAACTTCCTCCAATTTCTGGTAGTTGTCTCATGTAATGCATTAAATCTGTAATTAACATACCTGAAATATATATGCAAACCAGAATATAATGTATTTATCATTTGTGAAATACTATCAAGCTTTAAAATTCTAATTATAGGGGTTAGAGAGAGGACTCAGCGATTATGAACATTTCCTACTCTTGCAGAAGATCTGATTTCAATTTCTAGCACTCACATGATAGCTCACAACTGTCTGTAACCCCAGTTCCAGGGGATCTCGTGCCTAAAAAAGTAAATCTGTTAAAAAAAAAAAAAAAGTAGGCCCACTTGAGGCATAAAGTAGGTCCAGATATGTGATAGACTTTTGTGATTTTGTGCAAGTTAGTATGGTACCTACTTAATTTGTAGAAGATATTCTATAATCAAATATGCTGAGATTTTAGATCAGTGGTTCTCAACCTGTGGGTCACGACCCATCTGATAAACTTCTATCTCCAAATATATTTACAGTATGGTTCTTTTCTTTATTTCCTTTTGGTGTTTTGAGACAGGGTTTCTCTGTGTAACAGTGCTGGCTGTCCTGGAACTTGCTTTGTAGACCAGGTTGGTTTTGAATTCACAGAGATCTGCCTGCCTCTGCCCTCTGAGTGCTGGGATTACAGGAGTGTGCCACCACTGGCCGGTTACATTACAATTCACAACAGTAGCAAAATTACATTTGTGAATCAGCAATGAAACAATTTTATGGTTGGGGTGGGGTCACCACATGAAGAACTGTATTAAAGGGTCACAGCATTAGGAAGTTTGAGAACCTCTATTTTAGAGTGAAACATTTATCATGTGGCCTAAAGAAGAATCCTAGTAGCTTTGTGTCCATTTAGTTCAAGTTCTGTTTTAAGAAAAGATTTGCAAGGATGCTAGGGCTTAGAATCCAGACAGACAACGGATCATTTCAGTGGCAAAGGAATGGACTGTGGCCTGAAAGAGCTGAGACAGGGAATAAAATGTGGAGAAACCGCCAAGTGAAGCTGTACCTGTGATGCAGTCCTACTCTCAAATCTCACAAAACTGCCAGATTACATTTTTCCCTAGCCTGAGACTTCCTTTACCATTTCTCTTTTCTCCTCCCTTTTGATGATTTATTTGAGCATGCTAGTTATCACTATCGAATCTCAGAAATCCCAAACTATAGCTTTAGTAGGGAAGCTGTCATTAACCTCACCAAAAGGCCAGAGCTTGGCACATGGCTGAGTGATAAAATACAGTATTTGTTAACTGATGGTACACCCCAAACCTCACCAAGACACACACACCCCTCCCTCCCCAAAGCACCTATAACCAAAAGAGGCAAATGACACATTTAATGAATTTAAGTTTTGTTTTTGTTTTTTTGTTTTTTTTCTAGACAGTGTTTCTGTGTGTAGCCTTGGTTGTCCTGGGACTCAGATTTGCCTGCCTCTGGCTTTAAAGGCATGTGTCACCATGCCCAACTAAGTTCTTTCTTATCTTTTATCTCTTGTTCAGATGGTTCTGATTAGTCATTTTTGTGAAGTTCATTATTTGTGAGAAGAATAGTGCCAGGAGGTATGGAAGACAACACATGGCCTCTGCTCTAACACTGTCCTCTGAGCATTACTAGCAGATGTGAGTGTGATGGACTGAGTCCTACCATCTGGTTACTGCACTATGGAAACTTCAGGTACTGGCCAGAAAAGAACGCTACAACTGGATGATCAGGGTTAGAGGAACAACACTTGATCACCAAGGGCCTCCAGGTCCTAAATATAGATACAGAGTTAGTGGAGGGCAGGCATTGCATTTCGGTTACCCAAGGAACTTAAAATAAATAAATCAATAAATATATAAATGACTTCTGGCTGGAGAAATGCCTATAATCCCTGTCACTTGAGAGGCTGAGGCAAGAGGATTGCACGATCTGGTGTACCCAAATCTTGCCCCCCCACCAAATAAAGAACAAACTAGATCCTTACGCCTCAAGCAACAGATATTCTAATCCAACAGAAATGGCTTAAGATCTAGGAATCTGAATTTTTAAAAAGTTCCCAGGATTGCTGGCTAGTTCTGGCTTGTTCATTTCCTTTCCATTACTTCTATTACACATGCTGTCTTCTCTTGTTAACTTATATAAGTTGCAGGTCTTTAAATAGACCTATTAAAGGTCTTCTACCTTATTATAACCTGTACTATAACACATTTGGCACTGAAAAGAATCTGCCAAAAGAAATGTTTTTTGTTTGTTTGTTTGCCCCCAGAGTATTTTCACACCCTTGGGGTTATCTCTAAAAAGCTTCCTGAGGACTCCGGGAGCACAATGAAGAAATACCCTAGCATTTTGATCATTTCATTTGTCACTGAAGGGATGGTTGAAATACAAAATCCAGGAAAGTGGAGACAGCCGCTTTGTATGGGAAGACATTCCTAAGTGCTTCTATTTGTAGGGTTGCAGTCAGTCAGGTCAGTGTCTAGGAGTGGGAATGTATGACTAAATTAAAAGTTGCCTCAGAGACAAATGGCTTCCAAGACAACCTCCTGGCTCAGCGAATGAGCTAATCTCACAGCTGCTACTCTGGTGGTAATGCCTGCTTACTATTTATAAACCAAGATAAAAAGACAAAATGTACTAATCATGATGCAGAATGAAGCAACTCAAAGGCTTAGTGCAGTAGGTAAAACTTTCGGTAAGTTTACATTAAAAATCAAACAGAACAGAAAAGGGAAGTTTAAAGTTTTTAAGTGTGTGGAGTGAAGAATCATAGAGCCAAGTTAACTTCCCAAAGGAAAGCAATTTAAGAGGCTGAAATGTAAGAAGGTTCAGGAAGAGGAAGGGAGAGGGCTAACATTAAAAACATTAAAAACAAAAGGCAAGAGAAATGTATTTGTACCAAACAGTTATAAGCTAAGAACAAAAACTGAGTAAAACTAAAAGGGGGGGGGGGGGGAAGACAAACAAAATTAGACAATACGATTAATTTAGAACGTAATTCACCAACTGTTCACCAATTGATGGATAAACAGAATATAGATTCTATAAGTGGAATATTATCACTATAAAGATGAATTAAGTTATAATACATTGAGGAACCCTAAATACATTATCGAAGTTAAACCAAACAAAGAAAAGGTAAATATTGTGTGCTTCTGCTTATCCAAAATATCAGAATAGGGGCTGGAGGGATAGCTCAGCCATTAAAGGTGAGGCTTACAACCAAGATATCAGAATAGGCAAATTCAAAGATACAGGAAGGGCTGGGGGCAACATAAGCTGCTGGGGGATATTTTTGGAAAGGGTTATATGATCGGGTCTTGGAAAACGTGGCTATAGTTGTATTACAATTCTGTGACTGTAACTATAACACCACCGAGTTTCACGCCAGAAGTGGCTAACATGGTAACTTTTAAATTTTATAATTTACCACAGTTAGAGGAAGCCAAAACAGACTACAAGAAAAACCACTATGCAAGAAAATGATAAAATAACCTTAGAATACTGTTAGGTTAGCAACCTCAAGTGTAGTGCATGGAACCTCAGGAACATAATTGTCAAAAAAGCAACAGGATAAATAGCCTAAATGCAAAGTTAAATATGACGACTGTGTAATGTGACATCAACGCTTTTGAGAAGATAGAGGTCTATTAATAATCACACAGGGACAACAGGTGTACAGCGGGCCTGCCTCGGGCAAACTGGAACACGATGCTATTCTCTTTATATAAGAGCAATCAGTTGCTCAAGGTTGAATTTCAGCCCATAATTTGGGGTCTGGCAGAAATATAACAGTATTTTCTTTAGGAACACAAGTTGTCAAAAATGCACAATAGTTTTTTTTCCTTTTATAGAGAAATAATGTTGGCATTTATTGAAGTTTACAAATCATATAAGAATTAGCATCTTACTAATAGTAATTTTAGGTAAAATGTTTTAGTAATTTTAGAAAGCTATATTTTAAAACACATTTGCAAGCACACTAATTCCTCAGAACAATCAATTTTTATGAATCTACATTTTTATATACTTCATTATAGCTGTATAGAGTCACATACATTCTTTTGTACTCATAGTCCCTACAGATATTTACACCTGAAAAATCAAAACCAAGCTAGAATTACTGAGAAAATTAGTAATGGATATTTTACCCATTATTTATGAACTAAAATTAATATTAATGACCTACAAATAGATTAACATAAATAGTCCATACCTTACATGAGAAGCTCCGACTTGGGATGTGTCTTGCTAAGTCTGATATCTTGGATTTATTCTGCAGGTGATACTTTTTCAATCTTATTCTATTGTAATAACGATCAGCGAAGTTACAGTAACTCTGTTTCTGCATGCATTTCCCAAGGTGAGGAATACTACACTTCAAAGCTCGGAGAAATAATTTGGTTGTCTGCTGCATGGTGGCCAAGTCCCTGGTTCTTTGCTGCCTTCACGTGGGCGATTTCATATGTATAAATTAAACAGTAATGGGATCTCAGAGCATTTGAGATCACCACATCTTATCCCTCCCCTGTGGGGGTCGTGAGCCCCTTAGGTGACAAATAATTGCAGATATCTGATAACTGAGGTTAAGTACACTGAAAAACTTGTATGAGTTAAAGTTCACTCAAATCATACTTCTTGGCAGGTTCGACTTAAACACGTCATTGGTAAGGTCAACTTTACTAGGTTCAAGTTAAGCAGCAGTGATTCTGGTGAACATATGAACAAACTAAAAACAAAAAACAGAAAACAAGAAACAAAATAAAAATTGGCAAATAAGTGGTAAATGGCCTTAATGGGAACCCCAAGAACTCTGAGGGTGTTCAGAAGCAAAATGGGTTTTACCTTACATAATTCTAGGCATATCATTGGTTTGTATGTGAAAGACAAATGAGAAAAGCCTGTCTTACTTAATAAAAGGGGAGATTAATATTTGTTGAGTGTTGGCCAGGTGCCAGATACTTTTCTTCTATTTGTCTAATTTAAGCTTCATATATTCTTGATGAGGAAGCTATAATGCTGTTCATTTTACAGGTGACCCAACTGTGGCTCTGGGAAGAAATTTCCCCAAGTCATTTGTTACAGCAATAAATCAAATTGATTTGGCACCTCATCTGGTACATGATCTATTGGACTTAACCATAAAAGGATAAAAAAAAAAATTAAACACTGCAAGATGCACAAGTAAAATGTAGAGTCATCTTTGGTTTCTGCTGGATGGTAAGTTCATAAGCCCCGTAGCCAGACCCAGGTTTAGGCTTTGGGCCCTGCATCTGGGCCTCAACTTCTTCACTTGTAAAACAAACAAACTAACCACACTTTCTGGGGTCATTGTTTCATAACAAAACCAGACAATTTGTTCAAGCATCTGGCACACAGTAACCACTCAACAAAAGGCTTTAACTATATTAGCACAGGAATAATTTAGGTATGTTGAACACTGCTGAGTGTAATGAGATTATTCTGTAACATGTTCCTTGGTAGCAGAGAAACACCAAGGTCAGTTTTACCACAGATCCGACCAGCTATGACGCCCCCTTCCCCTTTTAATCTATTATGTCGCAGCAAAATAACGGACCAGTGTTGCAGCAGCAGCAGCCTAGAAGGAAAATGCCCCGAAATCGCTTCACTTGTCCCCATATCCTCAGTCCATTCACCCACCATCTATCCGCAGGGAGAAGACAGTGAGTGTGCGTGCAAGGATAGGGATACGGGTGGGGTAGACATGGGTGTTCCCAGGAGAATCGATTCGTTTTCCTGTGCAACTAACTGTGCATCCCAGGGATGTGGTGGTCTCAGGGCGTGAGGGGACCGGTTACCACGCACAGCAGAGACAGGGACCGAAAGGGGGACCCGGAAATGGTATCGGTTACCACGCACAGAAGACATGATGGGGATCAAAAAACGGATCAGGGAATGGCACAGGTTACCATGCACAAAAGAGATGATAGGGATAAAAAATGGGACCAGGGGAAAGGGACTGGGACAGGGGACACTTCAGCAACCCTCCCATACGTACGCAAATTGAAAGTCAGGCTGGCTCTGGATACACGGGTGAAGGCAGAGAAGACAAATAGAGAACCCGAAGCTCTCCAGGAGGAGGTGCAGTCAGTCACCTCGTCCACCCGAAGTCTGCGTCCCGCACCCAGCAAGAGAGACAACCTATCTCGCGCCGCCCAGAGCTACTTTGCAGCACGCTGGTCTGCGTAAAACCAATTCAGGCGGAGGGAGAAGCATATTTCGCCATCTTTATTATGGTCAGGAGGAGGGGATTTTTTTTTTTCTCTTCTAGGATCACTGGCCTGAAGACAACCTTGTCGCTTGTATTTTTTTGTATTCTGGCGTGCCAGAGACAAGGTGAGAAAGGAGAAAGCAAGGAGGAAATCTTTCCCTGTAACTATGTCACAGATCCCTTCCGCTCCGGCTCGCCCTCACTAAAGATGGCTGCTAGAAAACTGGTGCAATGACGCGATGCCGCCGTCCTGGTTGCCAAGGAGACGCGGATACCGGAAATGCGGAATTCGGGGAGGGCGCACGCCGGGGCTGTGGGCGGGAGGCCGGGCGTCACAGGTCCTGACAGGGAAAAAAGAAGTTGGAGGCAGGTCCTGGCCGGGGAGAGCTGCGGCGGAGGTGGCTCTGTGTGTCCGGTCATCGCCGGTGATGGAGTCGCAGGTGGCGGCCTCGGGGGCCGCGGGGGCTGCTGCAGACGCGGGCGAGCGTCCCAGGATCGGAGGTGCCAGCCAGGGGGCGCCCAAGGGGGCCGCTCGGTGGAAGCTCCTGAGACAGGTAAGGGCGAGCCACCTTTGCTCTGGCCACTCCCCTCCCGGGACAGGACTGCTCCGTTTGCCGGGAGCCAATCCAGACGCGTCCCCTGGATGCATCTACACTGTCCCACCGAAAAAGGGGGATCGGGCGGGTGGATGGGACTCAGAGTGGGACAGCTATACGGAGGTCCTGGGAAACTCAGATGCAAGTGGGAAATGCTCTGGTTCGCCCGCCTGCCCACCCGCCTGCCTGCCTGATGGGTGGGACCGCCCCTTCTCGCCGCTCGCACTTCTGTCCTGCCACTTTCCAGTTCGCTGTAACTCCCAACCCTGTCGTGGTCGCTGACTTTCACGTTGACTCTCTGGGTCCTCCAGCTCCGGAGATCTGCGCGGTTGGTTGACTGCTGGGACGGTGACCCGCACGCGTTCCCAGGTGTCTGAGAGAGTGAAGGGAGTAGGCACAGCCACTGCCTTCTCTCTTCCCGCCATGTGACAGTCAGATGTTTATCTTCTAAGTTTGCAGTCATTAGTGGGAATACTCACTGTCCAGGGATGTCCCATGAATCCAAGTGTGTGTATAGGTTTCCTTGGTCATCGTATTACAGCGATAGAAAAGTAATTAAGACAGTGGCTCAGGGCACTGAGTCGTCACTGTGTTATTTTACTTAGCTATTGCTATTAGCTAATGACCACGATGCCGTGTGTCGTGCAATGTCTTTGAACCACCTGGTAGTTTATTGACACAGGCTGTGACCACCTGGTGGTTTAATGTTGTGTACTTGGGCTGTATACCCAGATCAATTGGCTGGCATGCTCTCAGTTATGGTGGAATTATGAGAGAGCAAGACGAGCATTTAAAATCCCAGCTTACACATCCAAGGCTTGGAGTTGGTACACCCCATCATGCATAGTCTGCTGGAGTGTTTGAAGGGACTGACCTGAAGAACCATACCTGCAGTATGGACTCTTCAAGAGTCCAGGCAACAGCAGGGTATCAGAGAGGAATGTCGGTGTTGGTGGTGGGGAGGGTATGGTTTGATGCTGTACCAAAACCGGAGGCTTTGAACCAGAGTAACAATTCATTACCCAGTGAGCATTTGCAAGTAAAGCTGATTGGACAAAAGGATACACTGCATGACACACAGCAGTTCCCAATGACACCATGTTGAATGAAGTGGTGATAGAAAGGAGGGAAAGGTGGAGGAGTGAAGTGTTTTCCCTTTTTGTTTTTAAATTTATCTTTATATTTATGCTATTGCATTTAAATTAATGTTTAGATATAACTAATATTGTAAATGCTATATTTATTTTAATACTTTAATATTTTATTCTTTTTTAATGGGGGACACTACAAGAGTGAGGGGCACATATGGAGGGAATGGGAGAAGATCGGGATTGGGGTGCATGATAAATTCCCAAAGAATCAATAAAGATAAAAAAAAAATTAGAGCAAAATCCCTGCTTACATGATGTCTTTCTTTTTTTTTTAGCTTTTTAAAAAATATATATTATTTTTTGACATATGAGTGCTGTCTTCATGTACCCCTGCACTGCAGGTTAGAAGCGGGCACCAGATCACATTACAGATGGTTGTGAGCCACCGTGTGGGTGCTGGGAATTGAACCCATGTCCTCTGGAAGAGCAGTCAGTGCTCTTAACTGCTGAGACATCTCTCCAGCCCTACACAGTGTCTCTTAACGTGCTTTATTACTTACTTGTGTTATTAGTGTGACAGACTACCAGACAAAGCAGTTTAACAAAGGAAGGGTTTATTCTGGTGCACAGTTTGATGGCATAGTCCTTTGTAGTAGAAAGAGTCAAGGCAGCAGGAGCTTTAAGCAGCTGCTCAGTGTGTTAGCAGGAAGGAGAGAGCAATGAGGGAATACCTTTATTCATTTAGTTCCTCCCTCCCTCCCTCCCTCCCTTTCTTTCTTTCTTTTTCTTTTTTTTTTTTTTTTTTTTTTTGGCTAATTTAGTTAGGGGTTTACCCACTTGTTTATCCTTACAAATAACTTTTAGTTTGACTGGTTCTTTCTTTATTCTTTTTATTTGTTTTTATAATGTCCGTTTCATTAAAGTCTGCATTGATTTCATTGTTCCTTGTTCCTGAGTGCTTTTAGATTCGGCTTTGTTGTTGTTGTTTAAGACAGTGTTTCTATGTGAGGCCTTGGCTGTCCTTTAACTAGCTCTGCAGACCAGGCTGGTCTCGAACTCATAGAGACCCACCTGCCTCTGCCTCTTGAGTGCTGGGATAAAAGACATATGCCATCACTGTCAGGCAAGGCTTAACAAACATTTTTTTTTTAGATTTAGATTTAATTTTTTATTATTTGTATATGGGGTGGGACATGCGTATACAAGAGTACAGGTGCCTGTGAAGGCCAGAAGAGGGCATCAGAGCTCACCTCGGCCCTGGGAACGGAACACAGGGCCTGTTTTTATCCAGTGAGCCAGCTCTCTTGATCTTGGATTATTAAGTTCTTTTTTTCCCCCCTGAAACAGTGTTTCTCTATAGCTTTGGTGCCTGTCCTGGAACCTGCTTTGTAGACCAGGCTAGTTTTGAACTCACAGAGATCTGCCTGCCTCTGCCTCCTGAGAGCTGAAATTAAAGATGTGGGCCACCAACGCCTGGCATTTGTTTAAGTTCTTGAGTTGCAAAAATCCAGTATGGAGAAGGGAAGTGGACAGAAAGCCCCACCCTAACCAAGAAAAGAAAATCAGTTTTCTCTAATGGAGTGTCACTGGGCATATCAACCACACTCCAGGCCTGACCTCGCAACCAGAAGTAGGTACCCAACACAAAACGGACTCCATGTTTTTCTTGTGTGCTTTTGTTGTTATTATTGTTTGTTTTATTAGGTTTAGTTTGTTTGTTTTGAGTTTTGTATTTTTTTTTCTAGATTGAGAAAGAACATGAAGTTAGGAGGGTAGAGAGGTAGGGAGAATATGGGAGGAGTTTGGAGAGGGAGTTTGGAGAGTATGATCAAAATATATTGTATGTAAAAATTTTAAATAAAAAAGGATTGGGGAAAAAAAAGAAATCCTCAAAAAGCAATGTATGCTTATCTCAGTTAGCCCAAAATATTCTTTAAAAAATTATTGAACTGTACATATTCAAAACTCAGTAATTACCACAGAACTGGAAAGTCATTGTAATTGTATTAATTACATCATTTATAATTAAACTAATTAAATATAAAAATTAGAAACACACAAGACCTTGAGTTGCATCATAAATTTATTTATTTAATTTAATTTTTAAATTTAACTTTTAAGACAGTTTAATTATGTAGCCTTGGCTGTCCTGGAGGTCACACTGTAGATGATGCTGGCCTCACAGATAACCAACCTCTGCTTCAAGTGCTAGGATTAAAGGTGTCTGTCATTGTGCTCTTATTTTTTGGTTTTGTTTTTAATGTAAGCACTCATAATTGCTTACTGTTACCCCAAGGTCCCAGAATTACACTTTTACTTTGATTTAATTCTAGGAATAGTTTGATTTCTACTATGACTTCTTCAGTGACTCTCTGATCATTCAAGAGTAATTTTTGATCTTTAAGTCTGTTTAAGTCCTAAGTAATCTTTGCACTGTTTTTACCTAGGGCTTTGGAGTTTGAGGCCAGCCAGAGCTACACAGATATATGTATGTATGTATATTATAAAAATATGGAATATATAGATATATATATACAACACATATATACAAGGAATATATTTTTTTTTCTGAAGATGCTGGTAACTTTTCACCATATTGCAAACTTTTATTGTTCATTTCCTTCTGTGTTGCTGACTTTGTTCTTCAGATCCTGGGTTGAGTTTTTCTGTTTATGCCTTCTTTGATATCACTGTCGTTTTCACTAGTAAACTTTGGAAATCTTCATCCAACATTTTATCTACTGCAGTATTTTTGTGTTCAGTAAAGAATAACGAGCTTTTGTGGAACTCACATTGCCTTTTAATATTTTCATGTTTCTGGGACGTAATTTGCAGAACATTGTCTTGAATCTTTCTTCCAGTTGTGTTTGGAGACCTCATTGAGCAGCCTACCCCTGAGATTCAGTCTTCATTCTGTCCAGTGAGGAGAAAACAAATCATAACAGTACAGGATCAAAGTGCAAAAGATATAAAAATTGATGAAGAGGCCGCCAATACATTGACAACTACTGTAAGCCAAAGACTAAGGAAATGACTATGAATTTATACCTAGGGTAAATGTAGAAATACTAGGTTGATGCAGGGCTTTAGTGGCTGGCGCATGCCTTTAATCCCAGCTCTTGGGAGGCAGGGGCAGGCAGATCTCTATAAGTTGAAGGCCAGCCTGGTCTCTACAAAGGGAGTTCCAGGACAGCTAGGGCTACACAGAGAAATACTAAGTTGACCAAGAAAAGGAAGGAGTCAGGGAAAGAGGAAAACATAGAGAAGCCAAGTTCAGTAAACAAAGGAAAGGAAGAGGTATGCGGAAAATTACAAAGGAGAAAAGAGTAAGTATTAGAAAACATTCAGAAAGATTCCCAGTAAAAAGAAAGCTGGAAAATAAAAACAAACAATTAAAAAATCCCTTTAGATGAAGCCAGCAGCACGTATTGTTGTGCCTATTGGGTTTCCTCAGCATCCAAGGAAGTGACTCCTGACTGCAAAAGCAAAAGGTTTTTATTGCTAAGAACTGAATTGGCTGGGACCTCACTGTATCAGAAGAGTAAGGTGCCCGCTTACAATTGCGAAGTGTTTTTAAAGGGAAAGGGAGGTTGGAGACTGTTAGTCTCAGCCCATAAGGTTTCCAAGTTACAGAGATTTCACAGAGTACAAAGTTTTACAAGGCGGGATTGTTTAGCACACCTGCAATTTTAGGGGGTTTTCTTTCTCAAGGACAAGGCTCAGTGGCCTTGTCCTTAAGATAATGGGGGCAGGGAGAATGTACTCTCCAGTCAGGGAGTTATCTATATCTATTGGCAGACGCTCTTGTTCTTTCTGGTTTTCCCTTCTTGCCATGAGTCCTTTATCTTTAGTTATTAATTTTCCCTCACAGTATGTCATTGGAAAGATACAGTGATGATTATTAGTATGGCCTCTGAATAAGGATGGGATACACAGTTGAGAAGTTTTTATATAAGGAAAAAGGAATCAAAGTAAAAAGTAAAAATACTACTTTGACCTTCAAAGAGGGTCAAAAAGAGGTTGAGAAGAGAACGCAAAGGATCTAAATTAAAAAAAAAAAAAAAAAAAAAAAAAAAAAAAAAAAAAAAAAGAAAGAAAGGTTTGGTCTGGGGTTGGAGAGATGACTCAGATGTTAGGAAAACTGGCTGCTCCCCCAGAGCCAGGTTTGATTCCCAGCGCCCACATCACTGCCCACTACCACCTGTAACTCCAGTTCCAGGGTATCTGTTGCCCTCTTCTGACCTCCACAGGTCTGACCTCACAACCTGGTACGTAGACATCCATGTATGCAAAATACCCATACACCTAAAATAACAATTAGAAAAAAAAAAAAAAAAAAAAAGAAAAGATTGTCCAGAAATGAAAGCATCAGCTAGCTATATGAAGCATAGTAAGAAATAAAGACTAATTGTAGAAATATCGCCCAAGAGTGTGATGAAAAAGCAGGCACCACAAGGTACAAAAGAGGGCAAAAGCATGTTGGGGCAGCTTCTTTTTAGGTCCTCCAGAATTGGAGGCTTCTGGTTATGTGCAGAGATGAGGTGTGCAGCGGGTAGCAGTGTCAGTTAGACTTCTGGGCTCTTGATTATATACACTGGGAATGTAGCAGAATGGTCGGTTGAACCTTTAGGCTCTTGGTTACATGCACTTTTGATTGTATTCAACTTATCACATCTATTAATATATTGCCTCATATTCAGTTTGACAGCTGGGTCCTACACACAGACAGACAGACAGACAGATGCACACATGCACACACATGTAAGGAGTAGTTTTTTTCCCCTGCCGCAGGTCTGGTCCCACCGCGGCGCCAGCCCCAAATAACACACAGAGACTGCGTATTTGATATAATGCTGTTGGCCAGTTACTTATTTCTTATCGACTAGCTCTGTCTTAATTATTAACCCATTTCTATTAATAAGTATTTCCACGAGGTCTTATCTTACCGGGGAGTGGGGCTGGTGGCTGGTCTCCCCAGACTCTCCATGCTGACCCCTCCTTACTACTTCTTTGAATCCTCCTTGTCTCCTAGTCCCACCTATCTTGCTTTCCTATTGGCCAACAGTGCTTTATTCATTAACCAGTATGAGAAACATATTTACAGAATGACATCTCCCATCATCTCCTCTTTTCTGTCTAAATAAAAAGAAGGGTTTTAACCTTAACATAGCAAAATAAATCACACAACAGTTATCAAGTAAGAATTACAGTTAACAATATTTAGTCCATTAACATTTAGTAAGACTTAAGAAAATATTCCATGATCTATTCTATCTTTGTGAGTCTAAAGTCCTATATGTTACTTATCTGTAATCCTAACTAAGGAAAACTATAACCATAACTATCTGTCTTCAACTCCTTCAAAGACCACAGAAGGATAATATATATACTCTAGAAATGACAGAGACAACTCGCCTGGTCAGTCACCCGAAGTTCTTCTATAATCTTTCATCTTCAGCCCATAGGCCATAGTGTGTCTGGCAGACTCTTTAGCAAAGCAGGAAATTTTAATCTGTCTTCTTGTATTGGCAATTTGTCAGTCACTTTTTTCTGTGTCCTGCAGACTGTCTGGCAGACTCTTCCATAAAGCAGAAACTCTGTAGCAATGTCAGCAATGTCCATCTTGAATCAGCAGTCACTTTTCTATGGGTCCTGCATGTCTAGTTTATACAGCATAAAGTCAAACAGTCCAGACAAGAGCAGTATCTTGTCCAAATGGCTAGTCTTGCCATATTGGAAATAAACTTCATAATGCGTTTCTTCAATATTCATCTTCCATCTTCCTTTCTGGTGCAGGTGGTGTTGCCAGGAGCAGTTGTGCTTCACTGTCAAGAAAAACCCTAAACCATTTTAAATGCCATATTTTGTAGGTTGTTGAAAGGTTTGAAGAATGCCTATTCATCTCAAATACATCTTGAAAACCTAAATAACTTAACTCTAAGTTTTGACTATCATAGGTAACTATCTAATATTTGTACTAATTTATACATTACATTTCTAAATGAGCTTTATAAACATAATACCTAAACAAGAGGAGAAATATACATATCACAAAATTGACCTTAAATTGTATCAATAAATGAAAATACATTTCAAAACAAAATATTCATATCTATACCATAATTCCCTTTTTACCTTTAAAAAGAATTGGCTGTGATCATTAACCATTTATAACCAACCCCATATAAATGAAAACAAACATAGACAATATTTGGGAATTTGGGTGTCGTTCTTTCCAAACTACTTCCTGCTGATAGGGCACTGTCATGGGGATCCTAAGAAGACACAGAAATCCTGGCTATAGTCTGCAAGGCTGCCTTGTTCAAACTGTTTTAAATGTTGGATCACCAGGAATGCTGTTTCAGGGGGTCTGGCTTGATCAAACCATGTTTGTCTGGAAGGAATCCACAGCTTTTCATTTTCTGTGGAAATAAATATAGAAATCCTTTTCCCCAGTAACTTGTCCTTAGACTTAAATTTTGAAGTCAAAGCATTTTTAAAATATGTAAATTGGATTGATCCAGCAGCATTTGTTTTAACAGTTGTTATTTCCTCAGAAGTCAAACGATACAAAGACAATATAATACGGTACAGTATCCAGATTTTCTCCATCTTTATGTGGCTTTTTTTATTTTACTATTTCTTTTACTTTTTATTTTTTCATTTTTTGAGACAGGGTGTCACTGTGTAACTCTTATCTGTCCTGGAATTCACTCTGCATACCAGGTTTACTTTGCAATCACAGAGATCTGCTTGCCTCTGTCTCCCCAGTGCTGGGATTAAAGGCGTGTGCCACCACATCCAGCTCCTCGCTGTCTTTTTAAAACCATTTTATTCCTTTTCTCTCCCAAGCCTACATATATTTTAGAACACACTGTAAACCTTTAGTGCTTTTTCTTAATGTGAATCTGTCTTTACTGTAAATCTTTATCTTTTTCTGGCCACGAGTCTTTATCTGGTAAACAACAACATTGCTAAAATGAAAATCATAGTTGTTTCTGCCACGGCTTCTCAAAGATGGCAGTGGGTACCTTTACCGCCAGCAGTGAGAGCTGTGCTCACCGCCTTGGTCTACGCTGCACCCAGCAGCATGTTGCTGGCTTGGAGATGTGGTCACTGCCATTGCCAGCTCTCATACACACCAAAGAATTGTTAGTACATCTGTTCTAGATCTGGCTATCAAAGGTGTTCCTTGTCTTCTCAGTTCCTCCAATTACCAAATGCTCGGGAGAAAAGTAGATATGGAAGCCTTGCTAAGTCAGGACTTTTTTCCTTTATAACATATCAGACTATTAAGCTGTTACTGTCTTCCCTGCTCTCCAATGCCTTCAAGTATGCTCTTATGTGTTTTGTCCATCTTTCTCCTTGTGTTCAATAGGGCATTAGTCTGAATAATATAATCCAGTGTTACTGGAAACTAAACATATACTACATGTATAAAATAACCCCAATATTTGATTTCATTTTAAAGGTTCTGAAGCAGAAACAGCTGGATGACTGTCTGAAACATGTGTCTGTGAGAAGATTTGAATCATTTAATCTATTCTCGGTCACAGAAATCAAACAAAAGGAAACAGAGGAAGAGACTGGTGTGTGGGTCCAGTACACAAGCATCCTTTATCCCGAATACAGTATCTCCTTAAGGTGAGTACTGTTCTGGCACTGAGCAGCCCCTCGTGCCTGCTGTGATTTGCAACCATCTTTATTAGATCTCAGCTTTGCAACTTGATGTTGCAATACCCTGCTGCTTCAGACAAAATCTCTTATGCTTCTATTTCATAAAAAAACCACAGATGATACTCTTATTGTAGTTTACCTTATTGATACTTTATTTCTACAAACATCTTTTATATTTATCATACATAAACATAATTTATCATATTGTTTGCAAGTCTGAACTCATAAAAATCAACATCTAAAGAAGATGTACTTGGGGACTGGAGAGATGGCTCAGAGGTTAAGAACACTGGCTGTTCTATCAGAGGTCCTGAGTTCAATTCCCAGCAACCACATGGTAGCTCACAACAATCTGTAATGAGATCTGGTGCTCTCTTCTGGTGTGTAGGTGTACATGCAGGCAGAGCACTGTATACATAATAAATAATAAATCTTTAAAAAAAAGAGAGAGAGAGAAGATGTACTTGTTTCCTATCATAGTGTTCTGTTGCTATGAAGAGACACAGTGACCAAGACAGCTCTTATAAAAGAGAGCATTTAATTGGGGGCCGGCTTACAGTTTCAGAGGGTTATTCTATGATCATCATGGTGGGAAGCAGACAGGCATGGTGTTGGAGCAGTAGCTTTACATCCTGATCCACCGGTGACAGAGAGAGAGAGAGAGAGAGAGAGAGAGAGAGAGAGAGAGAGAGAGAGAGAGAGAGGGAGAGGGGGTCTGGCATGGCTTTTGAAGCCTCCAAGCCCACCCCTAGTGACACACCTTCTCCAACAAGGCCACACCTCCTAATCCTTCTCAAGCAGTTCCACCAACCCGGGACCAAGCATTTAAATATATGAGCCCATGGGGCCAATTTTCATTCAAACCACCACATTTAATGAGACTCAACCTTTATGAAATACTTTTAAATAAACTCAGTACTTTTAGAAACAAAACAAATAAAAAAAAAGGAAATTTTGCTACCTTTACTGGGTCTTGCTGTGATAAAATGGGTTGCAAATAAGGGGTTCATTTAACTGCTCTCTCAGCGTTTGATTATGACAAAAAAAGCTAAGTTCTTTGGGGCAAAGAAGACAAGTAAAAACAGTTTTACGAAGCTGTACTTCAAGTACTAGTTACCTCAAAATCAAGCTCTGGTATTTTCCCTGTTCGGGTTTTGTCATTCTCAGAACAGAGCCAGAAAAGTAGGAGAAGAAACTTCAGCTGGAAATACCTGTCTTCTGAGAAGCAGTTTTTAAAATTACCTAAACAGAGAAGAGAGAGTTGCAAGCTGAAGTAACAAGATACCACTTTTACTGAATGATTTCCCCCTCTGACATTTTGCAATAACACTGTAGTTGTTTCATTTTAAAAATGATGAGACCAAGGACCGTGGAATACATAAGATGACAATGTACAAGACAGAGTGATCCCCGGGCTACTGAGAAGGCCGCCTCAGTCCTGAGAGCGAGTGCCCTGTAGACAGAGCATTTGGTTGTTATACACTCCTACGGACCATAAATGTGAGCCCACTTCTCTGTCTAGTTGTCTGTCACCCAGAGTCCCTGGCACAGCTCAACAGAGAGCACGGCGTGATTCTTTCCCATTCATAGTCCTTGGCATCTGTTTTTCCCACCTTACTTAAACCTCCTTGTACCTTGATTTCTAGCCCTCAATAACCCCAAAGAGAGCAAATAACTAAACTATTGTGAATTTCAAAGTATCCAGTAGTTTCTTTTATCACTGTTACATAAACTGTAAAATTATAATTATAGAAAATTAAAACTTTGACCATTATTTTGTCTTAGCTTTACATAATGGTACTTAAAATGAAGGAATGATGACTTTCTCATAGTAACCTCTCTTCCTTTTTGTTTTTGTTTTTTGAGACAGGGTTTCTCTGTGTATCCCTGGCTGTCCCGGAATTCACTCTATAGACCAGGCTAGCCTTGAACTCACAGAGATCCTCCTACCTGTGCCTCCTGAGTGCTGGGATTAAAGGCATATGCCGCCACCACCCAGCTGTAACTTCTCATGAATGGCGAAGTTTTGGGCTGTTATACCATAGGTTAGAGTGTGAAATCCCCAGGATGTGTTGTCATGTCTGTGTACCGAGAGTGGTCCACTGTTTGGAAGTGGTTGAGATTGAGGAACGAAGAGGGCATTGCTTCTAGTTTTGTGTCTCTGGTGGTCTGGTTCTTAGCATGCTATAGACACAGCTATTACTATTAGTTAGAGTCATATAGAAAACCACTGCAGACCAGAAGGTGCTTTCGCTAAAAGTATTTTTATTAAAAATTACCTCCATTCTGTGTTGTGTTATAAGCTATGATTCATTATTGCATAAAACTTACTATGTAGATACTAGGTATTGTTTCCAGTCCTTGTTATTAATTTTTTAATGGTTTTTCGAGACAGAGTTTCTCTATAGCTTTGGAGCCTGTCCTGTAGACCAGGCTGGCCCCAAACTCACAGAGGTCCACCTGCCTCTGCATCCCGTGTGCTGCGATCAAAGGTGTGCACCATCACTTCCTGGCTCCATACCTTATTTTCTTTTCTTTAATTTCCCCATGGCCAAATTTAGATATTTTGGAAGGGTTAATATGCTTCCATGGTATGTTGAACCATACACATAAGAGTTATTAGTTTATAAATATATACGTATCCTATTGTACGCGGAACCATACACGCCAGAGCTATTAGTTTATATATGTTTGCATATCTTAAGAAACGCAAAAGCTGAGAGGCCTGACCTGTCCTTCTGTCTTTGAATTTGACCACTATTGCTAGGGTAATTGCTGAATCGGAAGGCTAGTCTTAAAAGTGTAGGGTAGGCAAGACGTCAAGAATGTGGCTTAGACTGTGTTACTTTTTAGTACACTTAATGCACCACCATGAAATTGCAGGGAAAGGAAAAGACAAATGAAACCATTAACACTACTGAAGTTAGTGTGAGCCTTCCGAGTGCCAAGTCAGCTGGTGACAGGAATGATTTGCTCATGCCATTGGATGTATGGTAGATCATCCTTACACACCTGGCATATTGTGGGTACCTACTTCAATACACGTTCCGTTTTTAAAAATTGTAGTCTTTCTGTGGATGTGAAGTGACATCCCAGTGTTGTTATAATTTGCATTTCCAAATGATGATTTCAGCCAGTGCGGAGAAAGAACAGAGTAAGAGAAGGTAGTGAGTTGTGGTGGTGATGAATATGAACAGAGTATATCAACATACATGTGCCACCTGTGACACTGGCATAATGAAACCCATCATTCTGTTCAGTAACTAAAAAGTTAATTAAAAACTGGCAAGGCAGAGGTTTGAGAGATGGCTCAGCAGTTAAGAGCCTGGCTGCTCTTCTAGAGGTCCTGAGTTCAATTCCCAGCACTCACAACCTTCTATATTAGGATCTGATGCCCTCTTCTGGTGTGTGCAGACATGCATACAGACAAGATGCTCATATACATAAAACACATAAACAAATAAATCTTAGGAAAACAAATAAGATGAAAAAAGGGCAAGGCTGGCTATTGAACAAGTATGATTACTGAATTTATGTAAGTATGTAGATTTAATCTTAGGAATGGAATTAATAACAGGTATTAAACAGTGTTTAGTTTCTTTTTGTAAAGTCTTCATAAGACCTTTAAAATAAAAACAAAACAAAAACATAAGTCAGGTGTTGGTGGCGAATGCCTTTAGTTCCAGCACTCGGGAGGCAGAAGCAGGTGGATCTCTGTGAGTTCAAGATCAGCCTGGTCTACACAGCGAGTTCCAGGACAGGCTCCAAAGCCACAGAGAAACCCTGTCATGGGGGAGAAAAAAAAAAAAAAACCTTTAAAATATCCAGTGTGTGGGGAAAACTCAAGTTCATTGAGTCATATTTTCAAGTAACATGTCAGAGATGTTGGCTAATTATGACTTAAATTTCTACTTTATCTTAACTCCATGCTTGCTTACGTAGTTTGTTTACCTCAGTGTTCTGTTTCAGTAAATTGAAATGCATGCCTAGAATGTTTCTCAAATTTATCTACATTCCATGGAGATACCATCTATTTCCTTATAAAGCAGATAAGACTTTAAAAGCCATTTATTTATTTAGAAAAGCTTCAAAGTGAATTACATGTATAGTCTTTTAAATAAATGCCTTCTGAAAACCTATACTTTTTTTTTTTTTGGTTCTTTTATAGTTTTTAGGGCACATTCCACTCTGTGGTTTATCTTTTTTTTTCCTGCCTGTTAATCAAGATAAAATTCAGTTCCCATTTATCACTATAAGAGGGTTTTAGTTGGGCAGTGGTGGTGTACACCTTTAATCCCAGTGCTTGGGAGGTAGAGAGGTGGATCTTTGTGAGTTCAAGGTCAGCTTGGTCTATAGAACAAGTTCCAGGACAGGTTCCAAAGCTACAGAAAAACCCTGTCTCAAACACCGGAAAAAAAAAAAAAAAAAAAAAAAAAAAAAGGTGGTGGTGGTGGTGGGGGGTTGTTTAATGCAGTTCTTTGTCCCTTCTTACTATTTAGCGTTGTGTAGCTTATGCAACCCTGTCATTAATCCCCAAATTAAGAACATACCCACTGTCAGCAGCTTCCCTTCTAATATCTAGCAGCCTCTGATTTACTACTTATTTTTGGGGGCTTGTTCTAGACATTTCATATAAGTGGAATACTACAATATGTGGGATTTTATATATGGCCTTTTCTACTTAGTACACTATTTATTTTTGTAACATTTATCCAAATTCTACCATGTTTCAGAAAGTTACTCATTTTTCTGTGGTAGAATTACTATATCACTATATGGTTAATACTTGTTCATGAGCTAATGGACAATATGAGTTGTTCTATGCACTACATGTATGCCCAGTGCCCACAGAGGCCAGAAGAGGGCATTGGATCCCCCAGGACTACAAATGGTTGGGAGCCACCATGTACCAGATACTGGGAATTGAACCTGGATCCTCTGAATGAGCATCCACTGCTCTGGACCAC